AAAAAACCTAAATCTCCTTGTTCAGGTACAATAAATCGAGTTTTAGGTTCCATTTGAAAACCTTGCATGCCATGCCAAGTCATATTTTGAATCGCAATACGTGTCCCTTCAGCAATAATTATAAAATCATGTTCTCCATTAACAATGATACTACGTTGACTTTTCTCTATGACATTTGGTAGAATAGAATTTATTGGAGGTGGACTTCGATCAATACCATCAACAAAGACAGGGGTATGTGCACATTCTGTCCAGTTGATCTTGGGTGCATGAATAGCCTGTTGTACATCTGATCGAGCAAAATAAAGAGGTGATTGTTGGTTTCCAAAACTGCCAGGAAAACCCAAAACATCCCAAAGAATCGGAGGTGTATCCGTTATTCGATAAATATTAAAAGCTGGATTAATACGTAAAGCAGCTTCGAAAATAGTAGCCCAAATATCACATTCTTTTGCGTGCGAAGAGGAAGGTATTGGCAATGGACCATGTGGTGGATATGTTGCATACGTTTGAGTATAATTTTCAAAGCCACATTTCGTATTTTGTTCATCGAGATATGAAAGAAATGAAGCATTGAAATTGAATATATTTTGATGCATATGAGCGAATGAAACGGCTGGAATTTCTAGTTGCACAAGAGAACTTGTTATAAGCGGATCAAATATCAATATGCCTTGAAGATTTAGCCTCAATGGCGCTGTTTCAGGTAAGCTATAGATGTAATTGGCAACGTATGGACTAGAAAATAATAAAACGAATTTAGATGAATTATAGCGATTAATTAATTAAATGCAAATGATTTTGATGTTTAAGATAGAAGAGTTTTTAAGAGCAGCTTCTTTATCCTGAGGATGTAAGTATGAAGGAGAGTAGAGAAATAATACTCATTCACACCAATCCACGTTCATTATTGATTACATTTTTCAACAATAAGAGTTCTACTATGCACACAATTTCAAATGATAGAAATATTTACACAAAATATCCAGCATAGGATTCTCCCGCAAGATACACCAAATTATTTTTAATTTCCATAAATACGTCGAAAAATTGAGTCAAAAAACCATAAAGTTGCTCCCTAAATATAAATAAGATTTTAATAAAACTATTTAATTTTCTATTTTTATTTTTTTACGCAAGCTCATCTTCATCATGAATAGTAACATTTCCTTGAGAGAATCCAGTACCAACAGGTTGTTCAATCCACAAAATATTAGCTAATGTATTCCAAGCATATGGATTTCGTACTGGATGTGCAGTACCCCATTGCCATAAAAATGGTCCATTTTCTTGAAGTAAACCTTCCATACTGTGAAATAAAGAAATAACATATATTTCATTAATCAAATACTATTTACCTGGAGCAACCAGGTCCACCATTCAGCCAAATGACAAGATCATTTATGCCTTCATTAGACTGCGAAGGAAAGTACCAGAAAAAAAGTTGTTGTGATTCGTTAGTCTTATTGCTAATTGGTAAGAGACCTGCCCATGAAGGACCAACATCAAAATTAACTTCAGGAATTGTAGATCCATTCACATAGAAATCTATATATATAATATACATCAAACATATTCTAATAACTGCTTAGTTTAAAAACAAAGTTAGATGTACCTTGTGCTTTTGGATTTATAAATCTTGGTTTGAAAAATGATTCAGTATGTTGTCTCAAGGTCAAATAGTCGCTAGAAGATTTTGAACGTGAAACAGTGAAACTATTTCGATATTTTGTCTGTGGAAAGTTTAAATGAGAATTTGTAAACTCGAAAACACACAGACCAATGAAAAATAAGAACATTTTATTTATACTGATGAAATCAAAATAATACGTTGTTTTATATTTTAATAGTTTCTTTTTTCTGTCATCTAATCTATTACATATGAATGGCCAATTTTGATTCGAAAAAAAGAAAGAAAAAGATGTTTATCTTGATAACAATGTAACACTTAACTCTCGAACAAATGTCATTGAGAAGTTAACACAGTGAAGATAGTAAATATCTTATCAGTTTTTTTAATATCATATTCTTTCTGTGTTAAAGAAAATTTTAATTCATCGGTAAATCATACAATTTCCATTTTACATTGTTGATATAGTTAGAATGAGAGTAGACGCGAGAAGATAGTCGCTTGTTTGTTACAATAATTAATCAATTTATTGATATCATTTATTTCAAAGATGTTCAGAAGCGTTTACGAGTGATTTTTATCTTCTTTGTGAAGATTATGAATGAGAATGAAACAAAAATGAATATATCTCACAGAAAGTCTGTTCCCTGTATACTCGATCCCTGTAGCCGGTATTGCAAGGGGGATAAAGCGAACTCTTGTATTTCTTGAACTTCTGCACAGCTTTTCTTGTCTACACCCTTCTTTAAATTATCTTCGGTGTGAGCATTTACGTTGTCGTATCTGTTCTTATTAGCATGTTAGATGAACTAGTAGCCACATCTAAATAAACAGTTTCATACTAGAAAACAAAGCGAACACATCAGATGAGAATTTATAAGAAGAAGAAATGTATTCCACTTCTTCAAAAAAAAATATCCTTCTATGATCACCTGTGTTACAAAAAATTCTCAGTGATCAATTCATAATCCTAGGTCGAAAACCAGAACTATGTGTAGGAAAATTTTGAAATCGTTCCCATAAGATTTAAAAACTAAAAGCGCATAAAAAGCATGATTTGTATTGAAAACAATAAGAGCAATACGTCTCTAAATGTGGACTTTTTTCTTTTGTGATAATCGTGTTCTGGATGATGAAGAACCGCGTTTACTAGAATTTATTTATGATGCTGTTGTTGTTTCTTTAGATGCAGACATAGCTACTGTGTTGTAGATGGGCCAGTTGAGATAGAAGCAAAGACTACCGGTTAACATTTCGTAAAAACGGCGTTTATACGCATATTTTGGAAGGTGTTATCTGTCTGGGCAGTGCACAAAATATACATCCATCGCCTCTTTTTTCAACACCAACACATGGTCGATCTACGCTTAGTATGTTACAATAATATTTTGTAAAAATCCAATATTTTTTAGTATCTTCAGATATGAATGTATCATCTAATTAGTCAAAATTACCTCCAGTGTATTTGCCCACTCCAAATCCATCATCGCCTAGTTTTCGATGAAAATTTCGTGCACATGTAGCACAAGTTGCTGAATCTAGCAATACTCATCGACACTGTGATACATGTTTTGAATACGGCAAGTATGGCAAGAGGATATGTCGATCGGATATGCCAAGGAAAAAGGTATCAGTATCGACAATCGATCCAGAATCTGGTGTTATCTCGCTGAAACGATCGGATTCATAGATGAATAATCTCAATGAATATATTATCTCAGCTTGCCGATCCAATATGGATATCAAATTTATTTGAACGGGAAATGATACCAAAGTTTTAGTCTATCATCTTATCGATTATGTGACAAAAATGAGTCTCTCATTTCATGATACATTTTATCTGGTTCAAAAAAAGTATTATATTATAACAAAATCCAAACAACCAAGTAGACGCAGAAAATGTAATTGAAAAATCACGTAAACTCGTTTTACGTTGTTATAATGCACTCGGTTCACAACAAGAATTATCTACGTAGTGTGCAAGTTACTTCTTATCTCATGAATTGAGACGACCATTACACAATACATAAATTTCAAAGTCTTTATTTCATTCAAACTGAACAATTTTTACAAAGTGAATTGAATGAAATACGTTCTAAACAAAATCTTCAATCAACATCAGAGGGTAAATCTAATTAATACGTTTCATATGTTTGTTTACACATAGAGGTGATTGATGATGAGGATGTATTTGAAGTTAAAGCAAATAACGATGAAAACAATTTCAAATTCAGCCAACAGAAGATAAAAGCCATTTTTCTCGTTAGTGCACGCATTGGTTATCAATATCGTTCAGACAATCTCGATAACGCATGTCTGTATGGTTTTGTCAGTGCATTTTACAAGAAAAAAAATCAATGAAACAGATCTAAGATATTTATCAAAATCATCTACAGCAGAAGAACGCAAAGATAATCAAAGAGGTCGGCCATCTAATGAGCGATTTCCTTTTCAAAACGAACATCCTCAAACAACATAATATCTACTCATGAAATATAGTAAAGTTCATGTGCCCGCTCTTTATGGTTTTCAAATTCCTCGACAAGATCATGATGATACTCGAGAACGATACAATCGTGCGCTTCTCACACTTTTTTGTACCATGGCGCAATGTAACCAATCTTTGCAAAATCGATGAAACATGGGAAGATGCATTCGAATCTCGAAAAGATCTTATTTCTGCTCATTCATAGAAGATTATAGAAAATATTCAACTTTTACATGAATGTAAAAAAGATCGTGATGAACATTTACTTAAAGTTATTGCCGAAGCGCAAGTCGATAACGATACCATTGAACTTACATTTTAACCATCGAATCAAGGTGCTGATGGTGAATACGAAGTAGATAAATTTACAGCTGCTGCAATCAACGCCACAGAAAAGAATCAACAGAAAATGTGCATATTCGAGAAACTGTTGAAAAAGTTGGACGTTTCAATCACATGAATCGTAAGTGGTAATCGTTTTATGACTCATACCATTTAGAAAAAAAATATATAAATTGTTTTAGAACAAGATTATCATGTTTCAAATACAGGTATTAGTTGACAAATTGTACCGTTCATCCCTGCAACGTCTAATCTCATTAAACTCAATTCAAAATGGTAAGATCAATTGAAGATTGAAAAAAAACGAATTAGACGCAGTTTGATTTCGGGCAAAGAGAACAATGATGATGATGTAATCAACGCCGTTGTAACCGGGATCAATCCATATGACAATCAAACTAGTTTCGAAAAAAAATACATCAATACTTGCAGTACTTGTGGTTAAAAACAATTACACCACTCAAAGTAGCACTCTTGATAATAAAAGGTCATCTCGACCGTGATAGTCGATGTCGTACAAGTATTTTCATGAAAGACATCATTACTTCTTCTATTGAATAATCTGTTTTAGATGGCAATAATGGTCAACTCATTATGTGTATACCTGGTTGCGGCGGAACGGGCAAATCACAATGGATTGTTGCTCTTACAAAACATTTTCTTCTTACAAGAAGAAAGCAAATGATGCGAAAACGTCCACCTATTGGAATTGCAGCTGCAGAAATTGATGGCATGACAATTCATTCATTTTTGGGTAAACAACGTAATTCACAAAAGTCACGTCCCATCAAACCAGGTGACTCCAAACTTGAAAACGAATGGAGACCTGTTGAATATCTGTTAATTGATGAAATGAGTATGGTTGGCTTAACTTTATCAGGAAAACTCAATAGAATTATGTGTTCTGCCAAACATGACGATCCACAAGTTCCATTTGGTGGTGTGAACGTCATCTTCTTTGGTGATTATTTACGATATTGACCAGTCTATGATTCACCATTGCATACTGATTTTTCATTACCATCAAAAAAGAAATTCAACAATATGTATCACTCTCTTGAATTCTTCAAATGAATTGTGTGGGCAAACTTACACAACAGGTGCGAACAGAAGATATACGACATCCTCAATTATTTGATCGCCTTCATCATGCGCAATGCAATTACGACGATTATGTTGGACAACCGTCAATAGAATCTCTATACAATTCACTTCGAAAGAAAGTAAATCAACTTTTTCATTAGAGAAAGAACTATTTTCGCCTTTATTAAGCTCCTATTCTCGTGTTTCGAAACGAAATTCGCATATAAATAAATAATTTTCGCTGTGCTTCCCCTTTTATCAGCTTTTATAATGAATTGCCATGTGCGTCACATAACAAAAAATGTTTACATACTTGAAGTTGTCAGTAACAACAACAACTGACGTCATTAAAAATATTAACATCAGTAGATGTGCATAAGTTAAACATGGAGAGTTTATTTATAATTAGATGAATGACATCATAGAAGAGCTTTTCTTGTAAGAGTAAGATATGAACTAGCTTTTTCACGTTCAAGATGGTTTTTAATTCTGTTTTGTTATTAGAATATGCATGCGCTTTTGTTAATGCATTAATCTCGATGAATAAACTACGTATTCTATAATAAAATAGTATGGTAATAAGTGATATATACAATACTGATCCATATACTTCCATAAAAATACAGATTTTTAGATGACAAGATAGAAAGCCTAGGTCTTCTAATATGTCCCTGACTTTAGTTTAGTGGTACAAATGGTAGTTCAGTATGGGGAATCTGAATCATAGGTTGGTTTTAATCAATGGATTAACTGGCTACGGTTATTTAGTGCATTGTTCGCAAAAATTGAATTATTTCAGATCAGAATAAAGATCATACATCTGATATGAATTCTGATCAGTTAGTTAATTATCAAATATTAAATAGCCATCAAGGGCACTAAATATCTCTAGGATTGTTCTGATCGTTATAGCACACCTCGAGGGAGCCTTAATACACTTCTCTACCAAAAACAAATCGAAAAAAAAAACAAATTTTCGCTCGGGAAAGACGCAGCCTCTCCTTCAGGTTTATTAATATGAAAAAATTGAGAACATTTCGTATAATGTAATGAAAACTATAATTAAAACAAGTAAAGAACACTTCAAAGTAATTTGTTATCATAAGAAACAATGATTGTATGCATTAATATTCTACAAATATAAAAGTTTTCACTAAAAACTTTTATGTAAAGACTAATGAAATACATTGCATGAATTACGGTAGTCTTTCTGCAAAATATTTTTTCGTTGAAATATACGAATAAATGTTTCTTGTTTACGATATTTATATAGATTTATAGGGAATCTGAATAACATTTTTAATGTAATCAATNATATATGAAAGGGAACAAGTTAGAATCACTCTGAAAAAATTCGAAAATTTTTTGCCGGCGGTACGGTATTTCGCGAGACGGTATGCTCAGAACCTGCGCGGTAACGGTACGGTACGGTATCAGATAATTATCAGGCGAGACGGTACGGTACGGTATGGAACTAAGGAAGACGGTACGCGGTACGAGACGGTATTAAAATTTTGCAATACCGTCGGTCTCTGTCATATACTAACAAACACATACTAAGAGAATGACTAAGCAGTGTCAAGTAAGATTTCAAAAATAAATAATTTTCTTTTATATTGCTTAGTATAGTGAAAAAACTCTTACTTTCCTTATTATTTTCATCCAATTTTCATTTTTTAGCGGGAAATATCTCTGGTATTTTCAGTCAGGAAAATGAGAAAATACTTTGAATAGCGAATTTCCCAACATAGATATTTGTCCCCGACCCTCCTCTATTGAATAGTGAAAACCGCAGTTCGAAATAACTTTTCAATCAAAAACTATAAAAATTTTGATAGTAGAATATACCATTTTAACCTAGCCGATATTGTTTTCGTATTTCTTCCATAACTGACTACACTTATCCAACCTAAAAGGAACGCTTATGCGTTATACATCCGAATGAGAAGGAAATGCAACAGTACACGTGGTTCGAAGTAATATTGCTCACAAACAGTTATTAATTAGACGATTTGAGCGAAATATTCTACAATGAAAACAAATATTGAACATCTACTTAATTCTTCGAAATATAGATAGATAACTGCTATTAATTTCTCTAATCTTAATGAAAAAGTGTGAGTGAAGAAGAGCCCATCTAGTTTGGATAAACTGTTACATATGAAATCGCACCATGTACCTTCGCATCCATGGTCTATAATAGTAAATATGTAAAACGTTAAAAATATTTAAATAATGATACAAATTATGCAATTGTTTATTTAATAGAAAAATTCTTTGTAAAAAAGTTTTGCTTTATTTTAGAGTGTCTATAATCAACACATCGAATCCTTATTATTGTTTCGAACTATTGCATATAATAATGTTGGATGTATTGATAGATTAAATTCTGTTTGAGTACAATTCTTCGGAATATCAAATACATTTGATGGAGGAGGCCCATATGTAAAGTTAAAAAATTGAATATCAGCACCGACAGTATATAAATTTAAATCCATTGGTAAGTTTTCTTTTACTGTTGCATAATAATAAAATGGTGCTGGTGGGATCTAAACAAAAAGTCAATAAACAATATACTTATAGAACCATATAACCTATGTTATAAAAAAATCTATAGCTATATCTAATCAATGCGAGATAAAATGAACTGCTTGTTAATTTAAACGAAGTGAAACTCAAATAATGACCACTGTATATACTCCGATGTTCTTCAGTATTGAGTTTCTACTATTAAGACCAATTCCTAGAAATCTGATCAATTGAGGTTAATATATATGGTGAAAATAGTTTCAAATATCTGAAGTCTTAAAAATAAAACATTTCTAATGTACAATCGTTAAAGTCATGATAGTCATTGCTTTTACAAAACAATAAGTGAATCTTCAAACTATACATTTCAATATTCTTTCTTATTTCGCAAACATAACAGTATTGACGAAGCGTCATTGTACATTAGATGTTCAGTTTTAAAAGTATAAAATTAAACAAATCATGTCTCGACATGATGCTCGATATGTCAAGAGAAAACAAACTGACTTCTTAATTTCCATTGATTTCAGAGAGGTCGACTATCGAGTAAGATGATTTACTAGTGATTTTTGCATGCAAATCAATTCGTTTCCTCTTGCGATATATGTATTGAATATTAGAATATTTTCTTAATTACCTCATAATTATGACATCCGCTCCATTTATAGCATGATACGTTGTTGTATGCTACGCTTCCTTTAAATTCATAAGTTCGAAATGTTAACATAGGTTCGATTTTGCCAGGAATTTGTCCCCATGAACATGTATCTTCATAATAAAGTTTATGATTTACAATAGAATAATTGAAAAAAAATTACCTTGTGATAATTTATAGTATCGATAAGTTTGGAAATCTATAATTGTACTAGAAGTTTGATCATCATAATCAAGTCTATCTCTAAATAAAGTTGTGTCTACATAGTATTTCGTACGCTGTCCATTCACTAAAAGCGATGTTGTATACTATAGATGATAAATTGATTTTGTTATTTGTCTCTATTAAGAAATAAAATAAAATAACATACTTGACTTGGTTGAGGTGGAACAGGACCCGCATAAGTACCATTGGTTTTATACACGAATATGATAAGAGAAGATAATATCAATATCATATAATTCATCGTTCTACTATCAAGGTTTTTAATTTTGTTAATTTCTTAGTTTTCAACTTTATAAAATAAAAATAAATTCATAGGAAATAATTTATTGTCGTATTGTCTTTATTCATTAATATAAAAACTCATAGAAAAGATAAAGATGTTAAAATGATGATCGTTTTTTTATTCAATTTTTCATTAATTTTAAATATTCTCACTTGTATTGTTACTACCTAGAAATTGTAGATGTTCACGATGATGAGAAACACATACATGAAAGAAAAGTTTTTTTTTAAGGCGACATCTTAACATTTGTTTGCCTTTTATTTATGTAGATAAAATATATCTCAACACTGGACTTGTATTGCCTTGTGTTGCTGACAAAGAAGTATAACAATAAAAATGCACATACATCATTACACAACTACTGATATAGATATTATTCTTGATTACTCATATGTTGCGTTTCATTTTTGAAAACATACTTTGCGATATCATTCTATTATAAAATATAGTGAATGATAAGAACGACAAACATACATGTTAGAAATGAAACTAAGTCGAATCAAGATGTTGCTATTTGTTTCAGGTTTTGAGACATAATCATGGAGAAAAGAAACGCGCTAAATTTATCAGAAAATGTTGAAACTGTGAGTGCGGGTTATGACAAGAAGGGAAAATCGGATCTCCCTTTTCTCATTTAATCAATATCTTTATGGATGAATTGTAAAATCAGTGTACTGCTTTGAAAAAAAGTAGGAGTAGCATTTTAACTTCCAATTTACAGTGCCATCCCTATGGCAGATGTTGAGTCACGATAGACATATCCGGTAAGGATGTTCCATCATCAATAACTAATAAGTATTACTACTAAAAACGCATTAAGAAACTAAATGATCGATACATTAGGTAACCAAACGCACAAGTAAAAGCGAGCAAAATCAACCATTAATTTGGTTGAAATATTATACAGAATAACATAATTCTCTTTTTTTGCCATCCATTTGAATTACTTTTCTTCTGTAAATGTTTCGTTGGAGTTTTTCATACGGCTTGTAAATGGTGGGACATAGAGAATGAAACTAAATATCGGTGGTACATATGAGATCAGATAAGCACACATAGAAGCATATAACGTTGCGCTTTTTTTAAGATTTTTGCAAGCGAAATATAATGCCACATTGATTTGAGATGAAAGAGAAAAATTGATGAGTATATACATGTACGATATACAATTCTTTTTGACTGACAAATTGTATTTTGAATATCTGATAGAAGTTGGATATCTATTTTGTAATTCTTGTTTCACGTCGTGTTGTTAAGATGATGAGAACAGTAATACTGATGGATATATTGGTAAAATGACCTTGAATAATCGTCCAATGAAGAATTTCATAAATATGCACTATAAGAAGTAGTATTATTACAATAATACTCAATGAAATAGTAAGATGTGTATTCTTTTTGCAGCAGATACTGATACAAAATAGGAATCTAATAAGCACGAAAAATTAATTGATATTTCAAACATACTTTCAATGAATTTAATAGGTGAAACGATAATAATTCAATTTATGATATACAATAAAAAGTAACGCTCATCCTTTAGATTCGCTGACTCTTTTCTGCAAGAATCATAATAATGCTCATGATACTCAGATATTTTGAACAGGAAGTTACAGAACACATATATCGCTAGGAATTCTATTGGAAGAGCTGCTTCTTCAATGAAACTTAATAGCTGTTCTGCAAAACTTTCAGTACGGATTCTATGTTCGATGCGTAATCAAAATATTTTTTCAATCTTACAAAGATTATATCCAGTTTTACGGAGCGATTGAGACTGATCTCTTACTGAAATAATGTGAATAGAACGCTCAGTACACTTAAGATAAAATAACGATCTCCTTTAGTTGATCACTTGAACACTTTCCAAAGAAATCTTTTATTTCCTCTACTATTTTGAAAAATCTGTCAATATTTTATTTGCAAATTGTGAAAATCAATCGAATCAAGTGAAATACATCAATTAAATTGTTATACTCCAGAACTAACCAAGAACACCGGCAAGAACGATCTCTACCGGTCCGCGGTCTCAAGTCTAATTGAGAACATGTAAATGTTTAATAGGATATATGTTTTCAATTTCAAGATATTTATGTTTTAGCAATACCAAAAAGGAAATGTAAACTTTGTTATTTTATTATAAAAAGAATTAAGACATTATTTGAAAAATGCATAAACTAATCAAGTAAATATTTTGTATAGATACTAATTGTAGAGCATTGCTTGTTGGTGTTGTTGTTTCACTAGAAGTCGATGAAAATGAAGTAGTTTGAGTTGTTGAAGTGGTCGTGATGGCACTTGTTGTTGTAATTTGTGTAATCGCCGTCGTCGTCATCGCTGGTGTTGTTGTTGTTGCTGTAGTAGTAGATGATGTGGTGGTGGTTGTTGTTGTTGGATCGAATGAAGAACATTGCGCAATTCGAATATCATCAAACGCAATTGAAACTTGAACCGGTTCGATCTGTCTAACACGAAAATAGAAATTTTCCATGCAAGCAAATCTTTCCACAGGTATTTTGACAATTTTCCATCCGAAACTATCATCTAACAATTGAATCCACATCTCTTTCCCATAACATCCACCTGCTCGTAATATTAATTGTGTTCCATTTTTATTCATTACTGATGACTTAACGTAGTAAGCAAATTGAATACACATTCCATAGTTTTGTTCAATTTTTTTCCAAGGACGAATGAAACCTGTATCACCTGATCGAAACGGTACTTGTTGATTCCAATAAATAAAACCGCCAGTAGACGAATTTCTTGTATGATCATAAACAGGTCCTAAATCTTTTCTCGGTATTGTTTCCCCAGTCTCAACAGTAAAATTAAATGAAGGTGAAGTGAAATCATCTGTGTTTTCCATGTTACACATTGTTAAGTCATCAAAATTGCATGAAAAAGATAAAATTGAATCGTATGATGAAAGTTCTCTTGGAGGATAAGAACACGAACTTATTTGAATATTATCCAAAGCAAATGAACTCTGTATGATATCGTCACTATCCATTCGAAACATAATTGTGTAACTACCAATTGGTAAATTGACAATTGCCCAACTCCTATTTTCATACAGAAAAATAAAAAAGTTTTTTTTGAAAAATGAAAGAAATCTTTACCAGCGGTCCTTGATATATCTAAAAGAGAAGACATTTCAGTGACAATTAACAAGTTTTCATATTCTTACGTAAAAGATTGTGAATTTTGATTTGGCCAAATCATTTGTATTTCATTTGATGTATCGTTTGTCCACGAATAAATAAAAAGATGACTTGATCTTGCCCGTCCATACAAATAATAATAAAAATTTAAACAAAATGATTCATTTGAATTGATATCAACAGAATTTCGCATCGCTAGATACCCAACTCGACCTTTATCAATCAAATCGTAATTATTTAACCAAATATAATGTCCTGATTCATTTGCAAACGTATAATCAACAGCCGGTGCGTCACGTTCTTTTCGTTTTCCATCTTTTGCTTGAACAACTGACCATTGATATGGATAATTTGATAGAGATATCAGCTGTTCGGTACAAGATGATTCAAAATCACAAGAAAACAATGTTTTGGATGGTGGTGGACGTGGTTCATCACAATAATCAACTAAAAAATCGTCCACTGCGAGCATTCCATTTGTTTGATTTAATCGAACGAAGATTTTAAATCTTTCAGCTGGTAATTTTATTTTGATTCTTGTCCAATCATCTATCGATGGATCTTTACCGGGAATGTCAGCTAAAACACGATTTAGTTGTTCATCGTCACCTTGAATTAATTGAATATTAAAAGGAAAATGTAGAGATGATGTGTAATACCAGAATTGAAAGCACACCGATTCATTATCGAAGAACTGTANAACCGGGCACGAGACCAATGTTTTACTGCCGAAATCATTGATCTATGTTAATATACGTGAAATCTATAATTTATATTTAATTCAAATAAAATAAAAACAAAACAATATGATTTTGATTTAAAAAAAATGATAGTTGCGTTGTTTTATTTAATATAAAAATTTAATTATCAGTGGATCAAATACAGGCAGACAAATAAATGATATATTAATAAGATTTTCTTCTAAACATAGATTTCTTTTTAAGTGAATTGACACTTCTCACTAAGAGTAAGTCAAGCTCTGTCGATTGGTACATGATCCAATTTCACTGGAGAAAAATTTATCTGAAAGGAGATTAAGGAAAAGAAAAACTTTATTTCGACCATCCGACATCTCTCAGCATTATTTTATTGACATAAACAAATTTCTTTAAAAGTTTTAAAAAACGGATTCCACAGCGTGTATGATTATTTCTATTTGTCAGTCTTCTACAAAATATAATTTCCGGATAAATCTGTCGTCTCCGTTGTTTGAAACGATGCAAAACTCTCATTTTGTTTCGTAATTCTGGTAATGATAAAGCGCAGACTGAAGGAAAAACAAGAATAGCAAAATAGTTTATGTAACCTGCTACAACAAGGAAATTATCAATCAAACTATTATCGAAATTTTAAAAAAAGCAAGTGGAAGGAAGTTGTACAACTTTTGATTAAAAAGTTATGGAGCAGATACCTATGTTGAGAAAGCCACCATTTGAAGAATTTTCTCAAGTAGATTTTCGCCGACGAAATTGAGCATGTATTAGAGGATCTTTTTAAGGACTTTTTTCATGGTGTTGGTATCCCGACAGGCCTACTTCACGCTGATTTTGAAGGAATTTTCTCAGTTTCCTCGCTGGAAATACTAGAGATATTTCAACAGTGAAACTACACGTAAGACATTTTTCGCTACAAAAAAAAGAAAATATGAGTTTCTTACTCTACTAAGCGGTACGAAAGTGTTCATTTTATGGTTTGTGCCGCATTTTCACACTCAGGTCGTGAATACAGAGCTGCAAAGATGCTGATCTTGAAAATCATTTTCAGGAAAATTTTTTTCATTCAGTTTACTTAAGCTTATATTAAAAATCTTTTACGCCAATTAAGATTCTCGTATCCGTAAACAAAACGTATTGAACTAAAATAATTATAAATAGTAAAACAACTTTTATTCTGTGTTTTTTTTTATTCATCTTCTGACTGCTTCGTCACTATCGGGTCGTAAATATGATTCGATATCTTCCTCCATAAATGCATCCGCGGTTTTGTACATTTTTTCCATTCCACGAAAATGATGAAGATAGGAAGTTGCACGTTTATCATTCATCGCCATCATAAACTGCTCGATCACCTGTTTTGCGTCATCATGATTCACTAGCTCTAACAATTGAGCTTTAATGCATTTTCTATCTTTCGACCATTGTTGAATCACTGATTTTTTTTGTGAGTTTGTTGCGCTGAGTCGTATTGTCTAGACAAACAGAAATTCTTTTTTTTTCTCCTAAGAAGAAAGTGTCAGAAATCTTTAATGAAAAATATGACTCAAAATGCATAAACTCACCAATTTCTTCTCTTAACGTTGCGCAAGTTAAATACATATTGTGATCATCGGTACATGTTCAAATATCAACTGATGGGATGTGATAACCATTGACGTCTATAAGTGCTGCTGCTGCCAGACGAGATCTTGTAAACAAGATCAAAAATGGCATGTTGAAGAATTACTTACGAGTGACGTGATGGTTTACCTTCCTCTCCCCTTCGATATCTAGTGACGAAATAGATTGTTTGACTTCTCGGAGCTTTATCCAAGTGTCATCACAAGAGTATAAATGAACGCTATCTTGTCTAAACTGTTCAAGAATCTGAAAGTATTTCGTCCTTGCCGTAACAATAGCTTGTGAATCTAGTGTAACTTTTATCTTTGATGTTCTTTGATATACGAAGCCAAGCTAAAAAAAATAGTAAAAAGCGATGTAGTATCATTTTTTTGTTTCCTTTCTCATCTCCATGAGTATAACATTTCACTTATGGTTTTCATTCTTTTACATAAAAACGTATTTGTCGAATGAATCGGAAAATCTTCATATTGTTCTGTCAACCGTTTCAGAAATTTTTCTTAAGTTGGATACACTTTTTCTTGAACAAGTTTATGAAATTCAAGTCGAATTAAGTCTTTTTCTTGCTCTGATAGAACAATAATCGGACGACCAGAATGCACTAAAACCAGAAGAGTTAGCTTTCACACTATTCATAGAAAAACGTCTCTTACTCTTTTTCAGGAAATAATGCTTGAGGAACAAGATGATCGAGAGAATTATCGCAAACATCTACTGTTTTTTCTTTCTTTTCTCTAAATTGTCATTACATACTGACAAACACATGCTAAGAGAATGACTAAGCAGTGTCAAGTAAAATTTCAAAAAGAAATAATTTTCTTTTATATTGCTTAGTATAGTAAAAAGAACTACTACTTTCCTTATATTTTCATTTTTTAGCGGAAAACATCTCTGGTATTTTCAGTCAGGAAAATGAGAAAATACTTTGAATGGCGACTTTCCCAACATAGATATTTGTCCTCGACTCTCCTTTATGGAATGGTGAAAACCGCAGTTCGAAATAACTTTTCAACCAAAAGTTATACAACTTTCTTCCATAATTGACTACACTTTTCCAACCTAAAAGGAACGCTTATGCGTTATACATCCGAATGAGAAGGGAATGCAACAATACACGTGGTTCGAAGTAATATTGCTCATAAACAGTTATTAATTAGACGATTGGAGCGAAATATTCTACAGTGAAAACAAATATTGAACATCTGCTTAACGCTTCGAAGTATAGATAAATAACCGCTATTAATTTCTCTAATCTTAATGGTAAGGTGTGAGCGAAAAGGACCCCACCTAGTGTGGATGAACTGTTACATATGAGATCGCACCATGTACCTTCACATCCATGGTCTATAATAGTAAATATGTAAAACGTTGAAAATATTTAAATAATGATACAAATTATGCAATTGTTTATTTAATAGAAAAGTTTTTTGTAAAAAAGTTTTGCTTTATTGTATAGTGTCTATAATCAACACATCGAATTCTTATTATTGTTTCGAACTATTTCATATAATAATGTCGGATGTATTGATAGATCAAATTCTGTTTGAGTACAATTCTTCGGAATATCAAATACATTTGATGGAGGAGGGCCATATGTAAAGTTAAAAAATTGAATATCAGAACCGACAGTATATAAATTTAAATCCATTGGTAAGTTTTCTTTTACTGTTGCATAATAATAAAAAGGTGCTGGTGGGATCTAAACAAAAAGTCAATAAACAATATACTTATAGAACCATACAACCTATGTTATAAAAAAATCTATAGCTATATCTAATCAATGCGAGATAAATTGAACTGCTTGTTAATTTAAACGAAGTGAAACTCAAATAATGACCACTGTATATACTCCAATGTTCTTCAGTATTAAATTTCTACTATTAAGACCAATTCATAGAAATCTGATCAATTGAGGTTAATATACATATATATACATATGGTGGAAATTGTTTCAAATATCTGAAGTCTTAAGAATAAAACATTTTTAATGTACTATCGTTAAAGTCATGATAGTCATTGCTTTTACAAAACAATAAATGAATCTTCAAGCTGTGCATTTCAATATTCTTTCTTATTTGGCAAACATAACAGTACTGACGAAACGTCATTGTATATTAGACTAGCGGAGGCACCCGATGGCAAATAAGTAATGACTTTGTCGAACATCTCACGTATTGAAGAGCTGCAGCAGATACAAAGCAGTATAATTCGAATTTCTACGCTTACAGTTCTTATTTTTCCAACCGTGCATCGTATAAAATGGCAGTTTCGGCGATATGTCTTTATGCAAAAGCGTTATAGAAGCTATTTTCTACCTCAGAAATTATTAAAAATCCTTTTTTCTGCTATATTCATTCTACATTCTAGTCGTTCACTTATCGACATCATTCTCATTCTCACGTCATTCCATATTTTACATCCTTTATGTTCACTCTCACTTACCCTAAAGACTTATCCTTATCTTTTGTAATCCTCTACTGCTATTGGTGAATTTCGTAGGTCGTTTTTAGCATGCACAGAGCTGTCACAGACATAGAAAATATGAGGATTGTTCTCTATGAGCACTCAGACGGTCTTTGACCGCCTTCGCTATCAATTTCATCCACTTTTGAAATTCTGCAATTCTCTTGGTCAATTTCATACATTGCCTGTAGCATGCGTGTGGCTCAGTTTTTTCGGAACAAAGCACATGTCGACCTTTCTCTGGACTTACGGAAACATCATGGAAAGTTTCACGCCGATAGTTGTCACAGGGACTGAATGAATAGCGAGCAAACAAACAAACCTTCTTCTTTATATATATAAATATACAGTAGAACCCCGCTATTCTGAACACCAACGGGACTTTTCGAAATCGTTCAGAATGACGGGGTGATCACAAAGGAGGGGGATTGGAGAAGAAAACGCTTTTTCTCACTTAAATCCTAGTTTTTCACCATTTAATATTGGTCAACAGGTTTTTATTTATTAAATTTGTGTACTCCAGCTTTCTTTTTAAGATGTTTGACACAGCTCCAATTGATACATTGAATTTTTCACATAAGACTCGATGAGAAACTCCATTTTCTTTCTCCTTTATAAGATTCACTTTTTCTTCTAGAGAAAGTTCGTGCCGAGTTGTCATACTTAATGATTTAACGTAGGTAAACAGATTTACAAGAGATACGTGTAATTCAATTGGCGTTGTGTACACAGTCGATTCAAATTAACTTTCTCTGTTTCTCTCTCTGGTCTAAACACAATGTTAGCCAATGAAATACTTTGAATTAATTCAAAGTGTAACGGCGCCCTCTACAATGTTCACATTAGAGAGGGAAATAGTACAGTCGGGACCGAAAAAAAGCGTTCATATTCAGAATCGCGAGGATTTCAGTAAGGAGGGGGTCAAAACCAGCAAAAATCGCTCGGGGGGACCGGAGAGTGTTCAGAATAACAGGTTGTTCATTAAGGAGGGGTGTTCAGAAAGCGGGGTTCTACTGTAGATAGATGATCAGTTTTAAAAGTATAAAACTAAACAAATCATGTCGAGACGTCATGCTCGATATGTCAACGGAGAAAAACTGACTTCTTGATTTCAGAGAGGTCAACTATCAAGTAAGATGATTTACTAGTGATTTTTGCCTGCAATTCAGTTCGTTTTCTCTTGCGATATATGCATTGAATATTAGAATATTTCCTTAATTACCTCATAATTATGACATCCGCTCCATTTATAGCATGATATGTTGTTGTATGTTACGCTTCCTTTAAATTCATAAGTTCGAAATGTTAACATAGGTTCGATTTTGCCAGGAATTTGTCCCCATGAACATGTATCTTCATAATACAGTTTATGATTTACAATAGAATAATTGAAAAAAATTACCTTGTGATAATTTATAGTATCGATAAGTTTCGAAATCTATAATGGTACTAAAAGTTTGACCATCATAATCAAGTCTATCTCTAAATAAAGTTGTGTCTACATAGTATTTCGTACGCTGTCCATTCACTAGAAGCGATGTTGTATACTATAGATAATAAATTGATTTTTATTTGTCTTTATTAAGAAATAAAATAAAGTACCATACCTGACTTGGTTGAGGTGGAACAGGATCCGCATAAGTACCATTGGTTTTATACACGAGTATGATAAGAGAAGATAATATCAATATCATATAATTCATCGTTCTACTATCAAGATTTTTAATTTTGTTAAATTCTTAGTTTTCAACTTTATAAAATAGAAATAAATTCAGAGGAAATAATTTATCATCGTATTGTCTTTATTCATTAATAAAAAAAACTCATAGAAAAGATAAAGATGGTAAAATGATCTTTTTTTATTCAGTTTTTCATCAATTTTAAATATTCTCACTTTTATTGTTACTATCTAGAAATTGTAGATATTCACGATGATGAAAAGCACATAAATGAAAGAAAAGGTTTTTTTTAAAGGTGGCATCTTAACATTTGTTTGCCTTTTATTCATGTAGATAAAAGATATCTCAACACTGGACTTTTATTGCCTTGTGTTGCTGACAAAGAAGTATAACAATAAAAATGCACATACATCATTACACAACTACTGATATATATATATATATATATTATTCTTGATTAGTCATATGTTGTGTTTCATTTTTGAAAACATACTTTGCGATATCATTCGATTATAAAATATTGAATGATAAGGAAGACAGACATACACATTAGAGATGAAACTAAGTCGAATCAAGATGTTGCTATTTGTTTCAGGTTTCGAGACATAATCAAGGAGAAAAGAAACGCGCTATATTTATCAGAAAATGTTGAAACTGTGAGTGTGGGGATGTGACAAGAAGGGAAGATCGGATCTCCCTTTTCTCATTTAATCAATATCTATATGGATAAATTGTAAAATCATTGTACCGCTTTGAAAAAAGTAAGAGTGGCATTTTAACTTCCAATTTAAAGTGCCATCTCTACGGCAGATGTTGAGTTACGATAGACATCTCTGATATAACGTTGCGCTTTTTTATATCTTTGCAAGCGAAATTTAATGCCACACTGATTCGAAATGAAAGAGAAAAATTGATGAGTACATGTACGGTATACAACTTTTTTTGACTGGCAAATTGTACTTAGAATATCTGATAAAAGTTGGATATCTATTTCGTAATTCTTGCTTCACTTCGTGTTGTTAAGATGATGAGAACAGTAATACTGATGGATATATTGATAGAATGACCTTGAATAATTGTCTAATGAAGAATTTCATAAATATGCATTATAAGAAGAAGTATTATTACAACGATACGCAATCAAATAGCAAGACATGTGTTCTTTTTGAAAAGCAAATTAGGATAAATTGTGATAAGAATACGCTTAACACTATGATACAACGTGTGAACTAGTAGACTGATCGAGTAGTAGATACTGATAAAAAATAGGAATCTAATAGGTGAAACGAATAATGCAATTTAAGATTTGTAATAATAAGAAGTAACGTTCATCCTTTAGATTCGCTGACTCTTTTCTAAGAGAATCATAATAATGTTCATGATACTCAGATATTTTGAACAGGAAGTTACAGAACACATATATCGCTAGGACTTCTATTGGAAGAGCTGTTTCTTGAATAAAACTTAATAGCTGTTCTGCAAAACTATCAATCGGAATTTTACGTTCGATGCGTAATTACAAAATATTTTTTCAATCTTACGAAGATTATATCCAGTTTTACGGAGCAATTGAGACTGATCTCTTACTGAAATGATGTGAATAGAACGCTCAGTACACTTAAGATAAAATAATGATCTCCTGTAGTTTATCACTCGAATCACTTGAGCACTTTTCAAAGAAATCTTTGATTCCCTCTATTTTGAAAAATCTGTCAATATCTTAGATATTTTATTTGCAAATTGTGAAAGTCAACCGAATCGAGTGAAATACATCAATTAAATTGTCAATACTCCAGAACTTACCAAGAACACCGACAAAGACGATCTCTACCGGTCCGCGGTCCCAAGCCTAATTGAGAACATGTAAATGTTTAGTAGGATATACTATGTTTTCAATCTCAAGATATTTATGTTTTAGCAATACCAAAAAGGAAAGTGTAAATATTGTTATTTTATTATCAGAAGAATTGAGACATTATTTGGAAAATGCATAAACTGACCAAGTAAATATTTTGTATCGATACTAATTGTAGTGCATTGCTTGTCGGTGTTGTTGTTTCACTAGAAGTCGATGATAATGACGTAGTTTGAGTTGCTGAAGTGGTCGTGGTGACACTTGTTGTTGTAATTTGTGTAATCGCCGTCGTCGTCATCATTGTTGTTGTTGTTGCTGTAGTAGATGGTGTGGTTGTTGTTGTTGTTGTTCCTGTAGTAGATGGTGTGGTTGTTGTTGTTGTTGTTGCTGTAGTAGATGGTGTGGTTGTTGTTGTTGTTGTTGGATCGAATGAAGAACATTGCTCAATTTGAATATCATCAAACGCAATTGAAACTTGAACTGGTTCGATCTGTCTAACACGAAAATAGAAATTTTCCATGCAAGCAAATCTTTCCACAGGTATTTTGACAATTTTCCATCCGAAGCTGTCATCTAACAATTGAATCCACATCTCTTTCCCATAACATCCACCTGCTCGCAATATTAATTGTGTTCCATTTTTATTCATTGCTGATGATTTAACGTAGTAAGCAAATTGGATACACATTCCATAGTTTTGTTCAATTTTTTTCCAAGGACGAATGAAACCTGTATCACCTGACCGAAACGGTAATTGTTGATTCCAATAAATAAAACCGCCAGTAGACGAATTTCTTGTATGATCATAAATAGGTCCTAAATCTTTTCTCAGTATTGTTTCCCCAGTCTCAACAGTAAAATTAAATGAAGGTGAAGTGAAATCATCTGTGTTTTCCATGTTACACATTGTTAAGTCATCAAAATCGCACGAAAAAGATAAAGTTGAATCGTATGACGAAAGTTCTCTCGGAGGATAAGAACACGAACTTATTTGAATATTATCCAAAGCAAATGAACTCTGTATGATATCATCACTATCCATTCGAAACATAATTGTGTAAATACCAACTGGTAAATTGACAATTGCCCAACTCCTATTTTCATACAGAAAAATACAAAAGAAGTGTTTTTTTCGAAAAATGAAAGAAATCTTTACCAGCGGTCCTTGATATATCTAAAAGCGAAGACATTTCAGTGACAATTAACAAGTTTTCATATTCTTACGTAAAAGATTGCGAATTTTGATTTGGCCAAATCATTTGTATTTCATTTGACGTATCGTTTGTCCACGAATAAATAAAAAGATGACTTGATCTTGCCCGTCCATACAAATAATAATAAAAATTCAAACAAAATGATTCATTTCCATTGATATCAATAGAATTTCGCATCGCTAGATACCCAACTCGACCTTTATCAATCAAATCATAATTGTTTAACCAAATATAATGTCCTGATTCATTGGCAAATGTATAATCAACAGCCGGTGCGTCACGCTCTTTTTGTTTTCCATCTTTTGCTTGAACAACTGACCATTGGTATGGATAATTTGATAGAGATACCAGCTGTTCGGTACAAGATGACTCAAAATCACAAGAAAACAATGTTTTGGATGGTGGTGGACGTGGTTCATCACAATAATCAACTAAAAAATCATCCAAAGCGAGCATTCCATTTGTGTGATTTAATCGAACGAAGATTTTAAATCTTTCAGCCGGTAATTTTATTTTGATTCTTGTCCAATCATCTATCGATGGATCTTTACCGGGAATTTCAGCTAAAACACGATTTAGTTGTTCATCGTCACCTTGAATTAATTGAATATTAAAAGGAAAATGTAGGGATGATGTATAATACCAGAATTGAAAGCACACCGATTCATTATCGAAGAATTGTAGCCATTCATCGGTTTTGATTTCCGATATTGGAAATTTCGTTGAATTCGGAGAATTGAAAAACAAATAATGACCTGAACTTGTATTCAATGTATGATCATGATCGATTGGATGTGGATGAAGACCATCTGTCATACCCCAATTACGATCAAATACCAAATCATTACAAGGATTTTCAAAATTACATTCCAGAATCACTGACTGACTCAAAAGGAAAGTATTTATCAAGAAATATATCGAATACATCATCATGGTTATTGACGTATACTATACTTTTGTTTCTTTTTATAGTCAGAGTAGAAGAGTTTATTATCAACAAAACAAGATGACGTCACAGTGAAACTTGTTATCAATGACACTGAAATAATAAAAGAAGAGCGTTTGTAATTATGCACTTTTGTGTTTTGTCAATGTAATCGCACGTAATATAAGACGTTAGTGGAATTTTATGAAATTACCAACATGATGTTTTCAGGTCAAAATCGATGTACAATTGATGGGCCTGATTCTTCGAATTCTTGTTTCGATATCCACATTTGTCGGAAGGTTGACAACGACGCTAGAATCGAACCACCAATCCATGTCGAATACTTTCTTTCTGGTGGTGCAATGATTTTCGTTTCTATTGTTGAGGGTGCCAACGCTCCCATTTCCTTTTTCAGACGCTCAACAATACCAGGAAACATCGTTGAACCACCGCAAAGAATGATATTCGAATATAAACTACTACGAATGTTAATATCACATTTCAGAATAGTGTTATGGACCATTCGATGAATACCTTCAAACAGAAATGAAGAAAAATGAGCATTTTATTGAAAAAATCTTACCAAGACTTTCGTATCCGATTTCAAGAATATTCGGTTGAAATAAAACTTCAGCACATCGAAATCGTTCATTTCCTAGAGTAACAATTTGTCCGTCGGGTAATTCATAGTGTTTCTCAATTGAAGACGCTAATTGAGCTGTATCCATGTCCTGTTGAAAATTGAATGAAACATAAGCGAGTTTTTCTTTCATATCGTCAACAAGATGATGTTCAAATGGTGTTACAAAATAGTGACCACGTTCGTTCAATAGTGTCATTAAATAATTCGTTAAAACTCGTCCAGCTATATTGGATCGATGGATATAGAGCGGCATCGAATAACCTTCATAAATTGGTACAACATGTGTCACTCCATCGCCTGAATCAAGAACAATACCAGTTGTTCGACCATTTGCATAGAGTGCCAATACTGCTTGATTATGAACGTAAAACCCTAAACGAAATTGAAAAGAAATTTTTTGTTTTCGATGGAGCCATAGTTCATAAACCTTTCGCATGAAATGTTTCAAACATGATTTGAGCCATTTTTTCTCGATGCGCTTTTGGAGGAAGTGATGTTTCTGTGAGGAGAACAGGACGTTCTTCAGGAGAAACCTGAAGCTCATGATTAAATATATGAAACCAAATCTTTTCCATATCTTCCCAATTCGTAACAAGACCATGTTCAATAGGATATTTAAAAGATGGAATTGGACGTTTGGAAAGCGCTGCATCACCAACATAAAACTCATTTTCTCCTATCTCAATCATTGAATTTTGATAACGCGGTCGACCAATAATCGATGGAATCACTGATCGTGGTGCATCATCACCGGCTAAACCAGCCGTCGAGTATGCACTGCCATTGTCAATCACAATCGTTGCTAGATCATCGTCGCACATCTTTTGCATGAATGAACTCTTCAGTTTTTTCTCTCCTTCGTTCTCACAGAGACGAGAGAAGGAAATAACATGTGTTTTTATTACATAGATAGAAAAGAAGCGAACAGAGTATGCTTCGCGATGGATGTGTTCATTCCGGTAGAGAGAATCACGGTCGTCGAGAGTCGCAAAAACTATTCTCAGACACTTTTAAGAAGGATCATCTTTTGAGAAGGTATCTCTTCTCCGCTTTCTTTTTTATTTAGTTCTTCTGTGAAAAATTTTCCAAATTCACTCAATTCTATATAAAAGACTGCTGATTGAGAAGAACATTGAATATAAGCATTTGCAGGGTTTCACTGTTTTCTTGCAGTTTCGCTTTTGAAATCTTTAATTCCATTTCGAAATGAATATTACTTGAAGGAATTTCATTGTCATAAACCAGACGAAGAGATTTTCTTAATAAAAACTTCACTATTGGAATAATCCAAAGTTTAAATAGAATTAAACTCATCGCAGCTAGATCAATACAGAGAGCAACGAAGAGAATCACATGAAAAATAATCTCTGTTTGACGCGCGACTGGTTCCTGTTTCTTCTATTGCAACTGCTAAATTTGTGACATAAGCCATCAGTTTCTCGCCATTCGTTTTTTTTTTATGTAAAAGTGTTGCACGATCGACAAATATTTTATTTATTTTAAATTTATACGTCGAATGCCATAATCCACTGATGACAATCTCATCGGTTTTTGCAAGTCTTTCGGTGTTATTAACGATTTTTGGGATAAACAAAGAACGATACGCTTAAAGCCATTTTATGGATTGGTAAATTAGATTTTATATAAAGATTCGCTCCGTTTTGTCGACCACAATTGGAAGAATCATCGCCTTCTCCAGATATTCCAGACGTATTTGATAACAATGGAGTTCCGTGAGGAGAACATTTAATTGAAAAACAAACTTTGAATTTCTAACATTTCTCACTTCGCACTCGTTTGTTTCCAATTATGAATGATGTTTCTCAATTGGATATTGATTATGAAAATAAGGACTAAATCGAGATAAAGGAATTGTAAATTCACCTGGGCAAATTGTATTCTCCGTTGGTTGACAAGGTTTGCACAACCAAAAGATCCTATTTCGTTTTCGAATGTTCCATCAGGAGACTGCGCCGTTTGGAATCAATGTGAGATGCATCACAACGCTCAGTCAGCAATAAATTTGTAGTTGTGTAATAACCTGGTCACGAAACAGGTAATGCAAAAATATATTTATTATTCAACATTATATACAAAGTATCACTATTCAAACGTGTTCGGTGATCTATATGTGCGGATGATACAGCAAAAGATAAAGGAAGCATATGTTTGTGCATGACTTGGATATGCTGATGAGGGCTTTAGAGAACTATCGAATTTTGTATTGATTTCCATGTCATATACATGGAGTTTATTGCTAAAATTGCTTTCGTGTCTTGTTTAAACCGCAGATGACATCATGAGTTTTCTCACCAATCAGATCAAACCGGTTTAATTCATTCGCTGTGAGAAGAAAGGCAAGATCTGGATTCGTTACCGTTAACAAAATTCGTGTATTTATATAACAATCATCAAGAATATCCATTGAAAAAGCACGAACATGATCATTAGTTTTCGTTGTTGTCCGTGTATCATCAACAATATAAAGACTGCAGTTAGTGGTCAGAGTCAATAAATAGAGAATACTAACATGAGTATTTGTTTTATTATTACCGACTACAAATACGTGTCGATTTTGATTGACTTTCAACACTCTTGCAACGAATCGCGAAGAGAAATCAAAGTGTCCATCAAGACTTACATCTAACACATACGATTCAGTTTGACGAAATTTTATGTTAGAAAAGTAAACTGTATCTTGTTTGAATTGAGTATCAGTATTTATACAATTAATTGCGATTTTCGTCATGAAGAACGTCTGATTATGTTCGATCACACTGTATACAACGAAAGTTCAAAATTAGATAATTCTAATTGAATTTGGTAAATTGTTGGAGACGTTGATGGTAAACACTAAAAGATGATCATTCTCTTTCCAACTCAAAAGATAAAATACGCTCAGAGATTCTATGCTGAATAATTATCATTAAATCAGATAGAGTGTCAATATTTAGCGTTGTTTTATGAAAGAAAACATTGTTTTCATGTATTCTTTCTAATTTCATGCAACAAAGATACATATGCAAATATTTATTATCTCGAACGACGTGTTCGGAGAGTTTTGCGATGTTTGAGTGTGTTTATAGACGACATGAAATATGTTACCTCCGCACTTGTCTATCAATATTTGTTTTTGATGTAGAGTTAATTGAAAAACAACGCCAATTTGCTCCTTTTCCCTCATTCAAATCAATAACGGAGGAAATTTGATTGCTGATGTTCGAATAATATCCGTCGCTAAAACATTTTATGCCTGAAGTCTGTAATCATTACAATATTTGACTATCAAATAAGCGAAATCACGTCCGTTTACTTTCACCGTATGCGAAGAAGCTTTGCCTCTTCTTTTGTGATATAAGTTTCTGACTTTGAAAACTGAATGAGTATATGCGATCAGCTTCTTGATTTGAACTAAAAGTCCGATGAAACAATCATTAACTGGGTAAGAGCATAAAACAACAATCTACGCATCAGTGAGCAAACTGAGATGTGTGTAGTGTACAATTGTCTTGCTTCACTCGTTCTTTTTCTTTTGACTCGAAGTGAGTTCATCCATATTTTCCTTTGTAATACGAAGCAAAATTGTGAAATGATCAAAACAACTCGATGTTTTACCATGTCGGCACTGTTGCTTTCATTTCTCCTGAATTTCGTCGATGGTTATCGATTTAAAATTTTATTAAGTAATAGCGAAAACATGCAGAGACAGAGAACGAAACGTGCAGTTGAACATTTTCAAATGAGCGAATGTCAAGAAATTTCTCAAGACGATTTTGATTTGTCTCGACAAAAGTATCATTTAAGTCAAATGAAATTTTATATTCAAACGAAATATTTCCAATCGAAGAAGTTCTCCGATTACTTTCATGAAGTCATCGAAGAACAAGAAGCGGCCAGTTCAACGCAAATCAAATTTGGTCAAATCTTTTCGTTACTTCTTTCGTTTAACTGCGAAATATTTATCCACGGCGGAGCGATACGCGATTTAATTTTGAATTTACCAATTCACGATATCGATGGCGAATATTTTTGTTCGAAAGACAAAATGAAATCTCTATGTGATGAACAATTCATGCAGAAAATCTTCGGTCAATGTCACTTTTTACCAAGTGGTCATTTGATTTTAGGTCAAAATCTTTTTCATAATTATACTTTCGATCCATTTGAAGCGTATCCGATGGAAACAGTTTTCACTTCTCCAATGTATACAAATGAATATACGACGAATACAATCTTCTACGATGTTAATTCTCGAATCATCATTGATATAACGGGATATGGACTTTATGATACATTTAATCGAATTATTCGATTGACGATCGCCAATCCGAATGAACGATATTTATGGTTGAATGAACAAGTGGCAAAACCATACGATGGATTTAAGAAATTATCACGGTATTGGAAATTACGAGCAGATCCACACAAATATCTTCCGGCTCCTTTGAATCAAACGTTGATTCATACGGATGAGTTTATTATCGAAAATGTAAAATTCTTATGGAAAAATCAGACTTCAGCTATTGAAAATATCTTTCGAAAACTTTACTGTGATTTAATTCGAGGAGATTTAAACAATCAATCCTTATGTTATTTACAATCGAATCCGTACAATTCAAGTTTAGATGCATTTTTAAATTATGATCGTGTATTTGAAAGAGATATGGGTTCAACATGGTTCAATGAAAATATTCTTCAAAAGAATATCAATCATTTTTATGTTCAAACGACTAATAAACATAGAGTTAGTTTTCATTTATACGAGTTTCTATTTGTTTTTGCTTGTATTCTTATTCTTGTTTTATTTCTTTTGTTCTACAAAAAATGTTCCACTTACGAACGCATTCATTAGTTCAATCGATTAATGACTCGTTCTCTGCGAAATCATAATAAAAATTGTATTTCACTCTTCTGCAAACGAATGAATTCGACATCTGTGCTGATAAGAAAAGAAAAGAAAAAAAAAGAATTGGATTTCGGTAATCATTATTTGTAGTATAGAACACAGTTGAGTCACATTTGATGTAAATGTCGTCTTACTCGATTCTGCTGAAGGGGATCTGTTGATTATTACGAATTCATTCGTTAGATTTGACTCTTTTCGACAATGACCTTGAAAATTTATGTTTGAGATATCATCAGGATTCATTTTCAGAAGTAAATTTATTCGAAAATGAAACAACGATGAGTAGCAACAGTTAGAAAATCATCATTTTTTTCCCAACTAATCAATAATATTCATCCAACCATACAGCGTGTCGAAACCGAAATATACTTTCTTCACTGATTCATTCCTATCGATCATCCTTTCACTTCGCTCGAAAATATACACAACGTTTTTTTAATTTTCTACCTACGTTGAACTGTGTAATGTATGTAGAAGTACAATAAACTGAACACACAGAATAGATTCTTGTTCGGCTCTATAAAACTTTTTTTTCCATAATCTGTTCTATTTCTTCGTTGAAATGTTTTTACAAAAACAAATTTCTCTTAAGTCTGGTTTTATCTGTGCGATACAATTCGCTGTTTGTCCATATTTNTTGTTTCGATATCCACATTTGTCGGAAGGTTGACAACGACGCTAGAATCGAACCACCAATCCATGTCGAATATTTTCTTTCTGGTGGTGCAATGATTTTCGTTTCTATTGTTGAGGGTGCCAACGCTTCCATTTCCTTTTTCAGACGTTCAACAATACCAGGAAACATCGTTGAACCACCGCAAAGAATGATATTCGAATATAAACTACTACGAATGTTAATATCACATTTCAGAATGGTATTATAGATCATTCGATGAATACCTTCAAAGAGAAATAAAGAAAAATGAGTATTTAATTGAAAAAATCTTACCAAGACTTTCGTATCCCATTTCAAGAATATTCGGTTGAAATAAAACTTCAGCGCATCGAAATCGTTCATTTCCTAGAGTAACAATTTGTCCGTCGGGTAATTCATAGTGTTTCTCAATTGAAGACGCTAATTGAGCCGTATTCATATCCTGATGAAAATTGAATGAAACATAAGCGAGTTTTTCTTTCATATCATCAACAAGATGATGTTCAAATGGTGTTACAAAATAGTGACCACGTTCGTTCAATAGTGTCATTAAATAATTCGTTAAAACTCGTCCAGCTATATTGGATCGATGGATATAAAGTGGCATCGAATAACCTTCATAGATTGGCACAACATGTGTCACTCCATCGCCGGAATCAAGAACAATACCAGTTGTTCGACCATTTGCATAAAGTGCCAATACTGCTTGATTATGAATGTAAAATCCTAAACGAAATTGAAAAGAAATTTTTTGTTTTCGATAGAGCCATAGTTCATAAACCTTTCGCATGAAATGTTTCAAACATAATTTGAGCCATTTTTTCTCGATGCACTTTTGGAGGAAGTGATGTTTCTGTGAGGAGAACAGGACGTTCTTCAGGAGAAACTTGAAGCTCATGATTAAATATATGAAACCAAATCTTTTCCATATCTTCCCAATTCGTAACAAGACCATGTTCAATAGGATATTTAAAAGATGGAATTGGACGTTTGGAAAGCGCTGCATTACCAACATAAAACTCATTTTCTTCTATCTCAATCATTGCATTTTGATAACGTGGTCGACCAATAATCGATGCAATCACTGATCGCGGTGCATCATCACCGGCTAAACCAGCTGTCGAGTATGCACTGCCATTGTCAATCACAATCGTTGCTAGATCATCGTCGCACATCTTTTGCATGAATGAACTCTTCAGTTTTTTTTTTCTCCTTCGTTCTCACAGAGACGAGAGAAGGAAATAACACACGTTTTTATTACATAGACAGAAAAAAAGCGAACAGAGTATGCTTCGCGATGGATGTGTTCATTCCGGTAGAGAGAATCACGGTCGTCGAGAGTCGCAAAAACTATTCGCAGACACTTTTAAGAAGGATCATCTTTTGAGAAGGTATCTCTTCCTCGCTTTCTTTTATATTTAGTTCTTCCGTGAAGAATTTTCAAAATTCACTCAATTCCATCTGTGACCGTTGATTGAGAGGAGCATTGAATATAAGCATTTCCAGGATTTCACTGTTTTCTTGCAGTTTTGCTTTTGAAATCTTTAATTCCATTTCAAAATGAACATTATCTGAAGGGATTTTATTGCCATAAACCAGACGAAATAGCCAATTTGTCGGACGAAGAGAAAATTTCACTATTGGAATAATCCAAAGTTTAAATAGAATGAAACTCATCGCAGCTAGATCAATACAGAGAGCAACGAAGAGAAACGTATGAAAAATAATCTCTGACTGACGCGCGATTGGTTCCTGTTTCTTCTAATTGCAACTGCTAAATTTGTTACATAAACCATCAGTTCCTCAGTATTTGGTTTTTTATGTAAAAGTGTTGCACGATCGACAAATATTTCATTTATTTTAAATTTATACGTCGAATGCCATAATCCACTGACGACAATTTCATCGGTTTGTGCAAGTCCTTCGGGAATATTGACGATTTTTAGGATAAACAACGAACGGCATCGATGATTCGATTTCTGAAGAACGATACGCTTAAAGCCATTTCATGGATTGGTAAATTAGATTTTATATAAAGATTCGCTCCATTTTGTCGATCAGAGATCGGAAGAATCATCGCCTTCTCCAGATATTCCAAACGTATTTGGTAACAATGGAATTCTGTCAGGAGAACATCTAATTGAAAAACAAATTTTGAATTTCTAACATTTCTCACTTCGCATTCGTTTGTTTCCAATTACGAATGATGTTTCTCAATTGGATATTGATTATGAAAATAGGGACTAAGTCAAGATGCGAATATCTTCGAAACGATCTAAAGGAATTTTAAATTCACCTGGACAAAATTCCCGCGTTTTTGAATGTTCTATGAGGACACTGTACACTGTTTGAGATCAATGCGAGATGCATCATAAAGCTCAGTCAGTAATAAATTTGTAGTTGTGTAATAACCTGGTCGCGAAGCAGGCAATACAAAACTATTTTTGTTGTTCAATATTATATACAAAGTATCACTATTCAAAAACGTTTGATGATCTATATATGCGGATGATGCAGCAAAAGATAAAGGAACAAAATATGTTTGTGCATGAATTGAATATACTGATGAGGGCTTTAGAGAATTAACGAATTTCGTATTGATTTTCATGTCATATATATGAAGTTTATTGCTAAAATTGCTTTCGTGTCTTCCTTAAACCAGATGACACCATGAGTTTTCTCACCAATCAGATCAATCTTATTGTTTAATTCATTCGCTGTGAGAAGAAAGGCAAGATCTGGATTCGTTACCGTTAATAAAGTTCGTTTATTTATATAATTATCATCAAGAATATCCATTGAAAAAGCAGGATTATGTTCATTAGTTCTCGCTGTTGTCTATGTATCATCAATAGAAAGACTACAATTAGTATTCAGAGTCAGTAAATAGAGAATACTAACATGAGTATTTGTTTTATTATTACCGACTACAAATGCGTGTCGATTTTGATTGACTTTCAACGCTCTCGCAACGAGTCGTGAAGAGAAATCAAACATGTTTATTACGACTTACATCTAACACATACGATTCAGTTTGACGAAATGTTGCGTTAGAAAAGTAAACTGTATCTTGTTTGAATTGAGTATCAGTATTTATACAATTAATTGTGATTTTCGTCATGAAGAACGTCTGATTACGTTCGATCACACTGTATACAACGAAGTTCAAAATTAGATAATTTTAAATGAATTTGTTAAATTGTTGGAGACGTTGATGGTAAACACTGAAAGAAAATCATTCACTACAACAGTATTGACGAAATAAAATGCATTGTTTTTCGGTTATAGTTGTTGCTCTTTGTTACATTCTCTTTCCAACTCAAAAGATAAAATATGCTCAGAGATTTTATACTGAATAACTATCATTAAATCAGATAGAGTGTTAATATTTAGCTTTGTTTTATGAAAAAAAAACCATTGTTGTCATATATTCGTTCTAATTTCATTCAACAAAGATACATATACAAATATCTATCATCTTGAATGACGTGTTCGGAGAGTTTTGCGATGTTTGAGTGTATTTATAGACGAAATGAAATATGTTACTTGCGCAATTGTTTATTAATATTTGTTTTTGATATGAAGTTAATTGAAAAACAACGCCAATTTGCTCCTTTCTCCTCATTCAAAGCAATAACGGAAGAAATTTAATTGGCAGTGTTCGAATAATATCCGTCGCTAAAACATTTTATGCCTGAAGTCTGTAATCATTACAATATTTGACTATCAAATAAGCGAAATCACGTCCGTTTACTTTCACCGTATGCGAATAAGCTTTGCTTCTTCTTTTGTGATATAAGATTCTGACATTGAGAACTGAATAAGTATATGTGATCATAGCTTCTTGATTTGAACTAAAAGTTCGATGAAACAATCATTAACTGGGTAAGAGCATAAAATAACAATCTACGCATCAGTGAGCAGACTGAGATGTGTGTGGTATACAATTGTCTTGCTTCACTCGTTCTTTTTCCTTTGACTCGAAGTAAGTTCATCCATATTTTCCTTTGTAATACGAAGCAAAATTTTGAAATGATCAAAACAACTCGATGTTTTATTATTTCGGTACTGTTGCTTTCATTTCTCTTGAATCTCGTCGATGGTTATCGGTTTAAAATTTTATTAAATAATAACGAAAACACGAAGAGACAAAGAGCGAAACGTGCAGTTGAACATTTTCAAATGAGCGAATGTCAAGAAATTTCTCAAGACGATTTTGATTTGTCTCGACAAAAGTATCATTTAAGTCAAATGAAATTTTATAATCAAACGAAATATTTCCTATCAAAGAAGTTCTCCGATTACTTTCGTGAAGTTATCGAGCAACAAGAAGCGGCCAGTTCAACGCAAATCAAATTTGGTGAAATCTTTTCGTTACTTCTTTCGTTTAACTGCGAAATATTTATCCATGGCGGAGCGATACGCGATTTAATTTTGAATTTACCGATTCACGATATCGATGGCGAATATTTTTGTTCGAAAGATAAAATGAAATCTCTATGTAACGAACAATTCATGCAGAAAATCTTCGGTCAATGTCAATTTTTATCAAGTGGTCATTTGATTTTAGGTCAAAATCTTTTTCATAATTATACTTTCGATCCATTTGAAGCGTATCCGATGGAAACAGTCTTCACTTCTCCAATGTATACAAATGAATATACGACGAATACAATCTTCTACGATGTTATTTCTCGAATCATCATTGATATAACGGGATATGGAATTTATGATACACTTAATCGAATTATTCGATTGACGATCACCAATCCGAATGAACGATATTTATGGTTGAATGAACAAGTGGCAAAACCATACGATGGATTTAAGAAATTATCACGGTATTGGAAATTAAGAGCAGATCCACACAAATATCTTCCGGCTCCTTTGAATCAAACGTTGATTCATACGGATGAATTTATTATCGAAAATGTCAAATTCTTATGGAAAAATCAGACTTTAGTTATTGAAAATATCTTTCGAAAACTTTATTGTGATTTAATTCGAGGAGATTTAAACAATCAATCCTTATGTTATTTACAATCGAATCCGTACAATTCAAGTCTAGAAGCATTTTTGAATTATGATCGTGTATTTGAAAGAGATATGGGTTCAACATGGTTCAATGAAAATATTCTTCAAAAGAATGTCAATCATTTTTATGTTCAAACGACTAATAAACATAAAATTAATTTTCATTTATACGAGTTTTTATTTGTTTTTACTTGTATTCTTATTCTTGTTTTATTTCTTTTGTTCTACAAAAAATGTTCCAATTATGAACGTATTCATTAGTTCAATCGATTAATGACTCGTTCTCTGCGAAATCATAATAAAAATTGTATTTCACTCTTCTGCAAACGAATGAATTCGAAATCTATGCTGGATAAGAAAAGAAAAAAAAAAGAATTGGATTTCGATAATCATTATTTGTAGTAGAACACAGTTGAGTCATATTGAAATTGACTTTGTCCGAATGTTATTTGATGTAAATGTTGTTTTACTCGATTCTGCTGAAGAGGATCTACTGATTATTACAAATTAATTCGTTGGATTGGATTCTTTTCGACGATGACTCTGAAAATTTATGTTGGAAATATCATCAGAATTCATTTTCATAAGTAAATTTATTCGACAATTAATCAATAATATTCATCCAACTATACATCGTGTCGAAACCGAAATATACTTTCTTTACTAATTCATTCCTATCGATCATCCTTTCACTTCACTCGAAAATATACACAACGTTTTTTTTAAATTTTCTACCTACGTTGAATTATGTAGTGCATGTAGAGTACAATAAACTGAATACAGAATAGATTCTTGTTCGGCTCTATAAAGCATTTTTTTCATAATCTGTTCTATTTCTTCGTTGAAATGTTTTTACAAAAACAAATTTCTCTTAAGTCTGGTTTTATCTGCGCGATACAATTCGCTGTTTGTCCATATTGATTGATTCTACTAAGGAATCGTTTTTGAATATCGAACGAATTTGTTTGCGCATGAAATTCACTTGTTAACTCGAATTTTGCTTCGCCTGGATTTGTTTCGAATTCCATTTGATAGAATACTTTTTCATTATCATTCATTTGACTCGCTTTAGCAATTCTCTTCAGAGAAATTGGCGAACATAAATGTTCGTAGCCCGAGAGATAATCGTTTAAATATTGAAGAGTTTGTTTCGCAAGTAATTCAATGGTCGATTCGTTGATTGAAATCGCTTTCCATTGAAGACAAGTACACCAATGTTCAGAGATATTCGCTTGTAGACACGTTCGATCAGCGGGAATTAAGTTAAACAAACTAACCGAACGAGCGTATCTGGATCGATAAGGCTTAGCCGAATGAAAACTGAGAATATGTTCAAATGTTTCGTAAATGTCGAATGGAGTTGATAAACGTTCAGAATTCGATCGAAGATTTTTCATGATTTCAGGATTTTGCTTTTGAAATTCGTCAGGCATTCGAATCGATACAAAGGGTAAACGTTCTTCTAGTTTACCTTGAGGAGTTGCACGTAGATGTGAATATCTCGCTCCATGATCGGTTAAAATCAGCAAAATTGTTTTGTTAAGATAACCCAAATCGCGAAGATATTGGAGAAATTGAAATAATTCTTGATCCGCATAAGGTAGATTATTGTTCGAATTGTGCGAATAATCCGAATGAAATAGAAAAGAAAATTTCTTTTCGTTTGAATAAAGATGAACATATTCTTTGATCCATTCGAACATTCCTTGAAGACGAGTTATAGAACCGAAACAGTAGGGCTTGGAAACTTTTTGTGATTCGACATATAAATAAAAAGGACGTCCGTAATAATCAACAGGAGGATTTCGAAATCCTTTTAAACGGTACTGGAACGTTCCAACGTAGGACATGTCTTCTGCCCATTGAGTTATAAAGCCATTTTCTTTCATTAAGAGAAAAAGAACAAGGAAATGATTTTGAGCTTCTGTCATCGATTTACTTTTAAAATCATTCCAAATCCAAGGAAAATCATCGACTGTTGTGGCTTTGGGATATCCTCTTCTCGATTCCGGTAGTTCCTGTTCTGTTTGTCCTGTGAGGATAGGAAAGAGCGCAGCTGGTGTTCCGTCGCCAACGATGTTATATCCTTGAAAAGAGTTCCAATAGAAAAGTGAGTAAATTGAATAAAACGAACCTTTCATCACGATGGCACCGAGTTCATTGACCAGAAACGAATAGGTTTTCGGTAAAAATCTCATAAAAGTCATTCGAGATGTCGAATCAAAACCAAACATGAGGACATTATAATCCAAGCTCGTCGATTTCATCGGAGATTCGAAATTCCTAAAAGAAGAAAAAACGAATTCTCTTCCAATGATCTTCAAAAACAAACTTTATCAGCAATGATGAATTGTATTTTATCCCCATATGATAATTCTCATATTTCGATCCATCTTGAGCTTGACAATCGACATGAAAAAAGTCCGATACCAACGATCGATGACTCTCGAATGGAAAGATTCGTTCTCCTACACTTTTATTGAAATCATCTTTTGCGCGAGTTATCGGCCGATAACCACATTGAATCGAACCATGAACTTTGATCGCCTCGTCCCGAATATAAAATGTACCTAAACGACTCTATTCAATTGGAAGAAAATCAAAATTAAACGAACTATTTTTCGTGTAAATCCAATTGACTTCATCGTCACATTTCGGTCGAGATTCTTTAACAGGCTTCAGATATTTTAAGATTTGAGGATTATCAATGGTTAATTTGGGATATTGACAGGATGTAAATGTTTTATTGGAATAATTCTTATCGAACACTATTATTGCTGAATTAACTGACGATTTCACATGGGAAATTTCTGTATTGAATCCACCTTTGCTAACTAGATATAATACAAGTAACGCTCATCCTTTGGATTCGCTGACCCTTTTCTGAAAGACTTTTCCGAATGCTGAACACATTCAGAGACTTCGATAGAGAAAAACGCACCGCGATTGCTACTAGTGCTGAACTGAATCATGGCACTATGTCACACACTAGAATGAATAGGATGCAAAAGTCTTTTTAGGAATCAGACCGATTAGCCATTTGTCAGTGGATAACTCTCCAGCACTCACTATGTTGACTGAAAAATTCATCGCTCAACGGCTATTCAGACGGCCACTCACGGCCAACCATTGACCTCTGTCATCTGTTTTTCTATTTTCACATCACGCGCATGGAAATTTTCATAAATGCTATACTAAGTCACTCATAGACGGATGATATACAGTAAACTACTTGAAAAATTTGAACATTCGCTTGTCTTCCGCCCGTAAACCGATTCTTTTCTCTCCTGTCAACAAAATGATACCTTTTCGAATATTTTCATTGAGGAATATCCATTCGTCAAATCCCTTTCAAAATTATCTGAAGCCTGGCAAGGTTACTCTAAGCGTACACTTTAGGATTAATCTAGCAATTAAGCGCCTAGCCGTTCGTTGACCTCCCTCCGGTCGGTCACTCACCGCTAGCCGTTGATGCACATGATCAGTTTTCATAGTATTTTCATATAAAGAAGTAGCTCGTTGATACTGAGTCGATCTATGATCGAACTTATCAAAACCCTTCGTAACTGTGTAGTTTACAGTACATATTCTATTGCTCTGTTCAATTTGTAGCACTGATAGTGTACAATCCTTATTCTCGAAGCTCGAAAGCACATCAATTATGTTCGTTCAAAAACCATTGGCTGTAGTTGAGACAGTGATAAATCTCATCTTTCAAGTAATTTTCAAAACAAACGTCTAGTCGTTCGTCGACCTCCCTCCGGTCGGTCACTCACGGCTAGCCGCTACCATGCTGTNTTTCCCTGTCCTGTCATATATATATATATATCATGGATTTTCTCTTTCTTTTATATGTGTGTTGAAATTTTCTCTTCTATTTGTCACCTGATTATGTTAAATACTATGAAAGCGAGAGAAAGTAGAAGAGAAATTATTTATTTTATACTATTTCAGTTTTTATACTGACACTTTCATATATTCGACTGTGAAAAAATTAAATATACTGATCTTTTAATTAATATACAGCTTTAACTAATTAATAACTGATAGTTTAAATAAACTACTGATCAATTATTAATTTTACTGCTCAATCATTTTTCTACTGCTCATTTAATAATTTAACTCATTTTGGAATTATTTCTGTTACTGATCATTTCAATTATTATACTGACCAAAAAACAAATTCCCTTTATTTTTTTTCTTTATTTATAAAGTAAAGATTGTCTTTATTCTTTATTTTAACTTTATTTGAATGGTAAAGATTTTTCTTTACTTTAAAAATAAAGAAAAAAAAAGAAAATCTTTATTCTTTATTTAAAGAAAAAATAAAGATAAAGTAACACCCCTAGTAATTATATAGTATAGAATATCAACGAGAAAGAGCTAAGCGAGTTGTCGGACGAGCATTACTTGTTTGGTAACATAGCTTTATTTCGTGTAATATTACTACATAAGCCATAAATCAACGGTTAGTTGTTACACGAAAGCTGGGCACGAAAAATGAAAGAAGACAGGACCCATGACGTGTGTCTTTTGTCCTAGAAGAAAAAGATGAGAAAATATGGTTTGTGTATGGTAGTGGTTTGCGTCTGCGACGTGTCATGATAAGAAAAAAAGAAGTTGAAGGAAAGGAAAGAGAATTTAAACGGTAACAGTTTAATCGGTAAATGAATTGAAATTTTCTCGTATTAGGTATAAGGACGAGTGAAAAATTTGGTAGTGGTGGAAGAGTCAGCAAACACGTTGATTCGATTCGATATTACATATGGAAAAGAGAAAACGGTTTAGCTGGAACCGAAAGAATCAGCATATATATTGCATATTTTACATATAGCATATGGAAGAAATAACAGAATTAGCTAGCGCGAAAGAATCGTTAGGCACGTTGAATCGATTCCATATTACATATGAAAAGAAGGCAGAACGAGAAAAATGATCGAAAGAATAGTCAGCTGGATTGAATTCGTTTTATACTGTATACGTTGTTGCATATATACCAAACGCTTTGTACGTTATTCCGATATAACGATTTTTGTATAGATTCGGCCGACACAAGAAAGATCGAATTTATCGACGCTTGTATATAATACGACGTTGGTGATTTCTTTTAAATTTTTTCTAGTATGTGTACCAGATGATTTTTAAGCGTAATGTTGCTGTTGTTTGTCGCTGCTTGAACTGCTTGTTTGAGAAATTCTACTGCATAGTTCTTCATCTTGAGGATGTTGCTGATCTTATGGATGTATTTGACCGATGTTTATATGGGTAACCTAATGCAGCTCTGATTGCTTTGTTCTGCATGATTTGTAAGCGATCCCATATTTTTTGGTCGGCTGTGGGCAGGACAGGATAGCCGTATATGATGACTGTGCGTACAATTGATTTGAAGACATTTATCATCGCCTTGTTGTATGGTTCTTCTGCTGATCTCGATAGATATCGAAGAAGACCGATCCAAGGAGCAGTCTTAGCTTCAATATGTTCGAGATGCATTCGCCATTTTAACCTTTTTTCTATAATGACACCCAAGTATCGAGTGTGATCCAATGGTTTGATTAATGTGTTCTCGACTTTAACCATCACTGGATTTTGGTATTTCTTCCTTGGGTGTAGGGTGAAGTGAATCAGCTCTGTTTTTGTTGGTTGCAATTTCAGTTTCCATGACTTGCACCAACTTTCGAATGCATCGATGGTTTTTTGTAATGTGGATCTAAGTGATGATAAAGGGTGACCAGATGTCCATAATGCAGCATCGTCGGCGAATAAACCATGTTCGGTGTGAGTCGGTATTCCATTCATCGAATCTGCGGTATACATGATGTAAAGTAGTGGTGATAACGGAGATCCTTGTGGAGTGCCGTTCATCAACTTGAAGGGACGAGATAAGATGTTTTCTATTTCAACTACAGCCGTTCTATTGTTTGAGAAGGAGATCAGGTACTTGGTGGTGTATTGGGGAAGATGTAGATCGTTAAGCTTGTATATCAAACCATCATGCCAGACTGCTATGAATCAAAAGCAGCTTTGATGTCGAACAGGATTACAGCTGAATGGTGTCTTCGACTGGGTCGTCTTAGTTTTCCTACAGAATCTTTCTAGTCTGACGATTTTGTGGTAATACGTTTCGTCGATCTAGTTCCAGCATAAGACGTTGTTTGATGATTTTCTCCAATAGTTTACCTAAGCAGCTAAGAAGACTGATCGGCCGATAACTGGAAAGACTGAGTTAATCTATTTCTATGTTGAACTTGTGTTGCACTCATGGTCATCTTCCTTTCAGTGACTTCTAAAGGAGTGCCATTGAGGACATGATTCATGTTCTTCAATCTACCCTACGACAACCAGTTTTTTAACCATGATTCTTTCATTGTAACTCACGGATTTTAGTCGAAATCACGGATCCTGTTACTTGCAAATACGTCGTTTTCGAATTTTGGATTTAATTAAAGATGGCGCCATGAAAAATATTCATTAGTTATGTTACAACTTCTTTTGAAGGAAACAAATATCATTATCGGATTTCGAATTCTTCAGATCAAATATGTTAGACAAAATAATCTTATTGAGATGAATACTTTTTTCTGCTAGACAAAACGAAAATGAAACGTTAAGTAGGTTTATTCAAAATAGTTTTGTTCATAAAAACGAGTTGTGAATTTAATAGCTCTAAAAATGTTTTTGTAACTTCTTGATTATTCAAATCCATTCGATGTCCACATCTTTTATATTTAATATCAACAGGCTGAGCACCCGATGCGCAACAACTTCCCCAACAATCTCCAAGTCTTGTGATAACACTATGATGTGGAGTTAAACGATACGTTAAATCAATAATGTTCATTATCGTTGGAGTTGCAACTTCATGAAAAGAATCAGCACGATGAAATATATCTGCTAACTCAATAAATGCCTTGAAAAATCGTCGAGGAATATAATAAATATCAGACCATCTAGAGCAATCAAACTTTTTTTGTCATTTTTCGATCAAATGATTATTTACCCTCCGCAGAAAACGTTTGAATCTGTGACGTAACGATTCGAATAGTTTTTCGCGACCATTTCCGTAGCTTTTTTCGCAATATTATGAAGTCCATTTGTCCATGCCCACCAATCCCATCCCGCTGTTGTTGTTACACATCTAAACGGAGGTAATGGACCATCAAGAAACCAGATGTTTTCAAAGTTCATATCGTGAAATTTGAATGGATTGATCCACGCCTAAAAACATCTCTAAATGCAAATTCCAACAACTAAATTTCACTCACATCGAAATGAAAGAAAAGAATTCCGTTGATTTCCGGACGCTCTTTCAAAATAATCGTCATTGTTTCACTAACCATTTTATAAGGAAAAGATATGGAGACTAAACCATCAACGGTTAAGTTCAATTTTGTCGCGTAATTCGGAATGGAATAATGTAGTTCATAGAAGAATGGACGATATCTTTCCATTAAAGGAATCCGATTGACAAACGCGGAATTCCAACGGATGAAACCGAGAGTATGAGTAAATGGAGATACGATGCGATCTTCTTTTTTCTCAACAGTTTTAACTGAAATTTCGAGTTTTGTTCGATTGTCTAACGAATAAATTCCATAAAAAACGAGAAGAATTAAAATTAAGAAGATAATTAGTCTATAGACAAAAAGAAATGGCGACTTTTCACTTGGATTCATGATTTTCTACCGAACTCGCTTCCAAAGCCAAATATTTCTATTGAATGAATGAACACCTTCTTTTCTTGGAGGACAAAGCAATTATTACTAATGTATCTTACTTGTAACAATTCTTTTTTCTTCGAGAAAGAGAATGGAAAAACGTTAATTAAATAGAAAGTAAATTCTTTCTTTTTTCTCAAACAAAAGTTTTTTCTTGAAAAAAAAACGTTCTTTTTTCTCTTTTTAGGCGAGTTAAATAGTCAAAATATGTTTGGGGAAAAGATTTTCGCTTTTGTAAGTTTATTACTGCTTCAAGTCATCGTCTCAATTGTTTATAAATATTCACAAAAACACGGCAAATATGAATATTCTCCATTGGCAACGATCTCCTGTTCCGAAGCAATTAAATTCTTTCTCAGTCTCATCTTATTAATCAATTCCTACCGAAAGCTCGACACTAGTGACCAGTTTTCTGGCTATGTAACCAAACAGATCTCCACTTATTTTCTCCTAAATTCTTGTCTATTGGCGCTTTTATATTGCGTTAACAATCAATTAGCGTTTCAATTATTTTTATCTGTTGATCCTGCTTCGATATCTTTATTCAAATCTTTATCCTCATTCGAATGTGCGGTTTTGTTATGGACATTTTTTGATCGTCAAATCAATCAAATTCAATGGTCATCGATTTGTTTACAAGTCCTCGGATTGATTATTGTTCAATATGATACTTGTCATCATTCAGCTTTATTTCAAATGAAATTCTATTTTATGTTGATTTTGAGTAGTTTGATCACAGCATTATCATCGGTGTTGAATGAATATTTCATAAAAGCATATTCAGTGAATATAAATCTACAAAATTTAGTTTTGTATTTGTTTGGATTCTGTTTGAATTTCACGTTATTTTACTTCATTCCGAATCTGGATGGACATGGAAATAAAAGTTTCTTTCAAGGATATACACTAATGGTCATAGCTGTTATTACGTGTAATTCATTCCTCGGAATAACGATCACATTTGTTTATAAATATGCGGATGCGATTGTCAAGACGTTTAGTACGGCATGTGCCACAGCTGTACTTCTGTTCTTTAATTTAACTTTATTTCATTCTTATGCGACATTGACATCATTTTTGGGAGCGGCGATAATTTTTATCTCATCGTATGTTTATTTTGCTGCGACGACAAATTCGACTGCAATTAAAGTTGAAGCTCAAGAGAATTCGAAAACAACTTCACCGAAATCGAAGTTGATCATGAAATGGATTATTTACTTGACTTCGATTTTCGTTTTCATTTGTTCTGTTTTGTACTTTTTTGTTCCGATTCGTCGATATTATTTCAAAACGTAATTCGATTTGATTTCAACAGAAATAAATCAGCCAGTCTTTGTTTAAATAGAATATCATTCATCACTTATGTTTCAAATATGGAAACAGTACTCGAGCCATTATCAAGAACTCAACAAGAGATTGATAGAATAATAACATAGAGTATGTCGAACAAATACAAAAGGTGCGAAGTCAAGCGGTGACGTTACCAATCACTTACATAATTGAGAATGAGAGACAGTACATACATTTTTACCACAAAAAGGTCAATTTCAGCTCAATGAAGCGTTTTGACTTCTTGACTCTGTCCAAGTAGCACGCAAAAGTATTTGCAGCGGATCAATACTATACAGACTGTGATCTCGAGAATAAATTCTCGTTTCTCTTCAAACTTCTATCCAGTGACGAATTTTTTTCTTGTTTTTCTTTTTCCTTGCCATAATGTTGCATAAAATAAGCACATATAGGGAAATAAGACCTTTAAAATCCTTGTTACTGATTCAAGATCAATATTTTCAATGTGATTAACGGTCGTATTTATCAAAAAAAAGTTCATTTATTTCGACTAGAATAATGGGATAAACCTTGTATTTTCTCTTCACACACACAGGCACATGTTTTCTTCTATCCGACTGTACTTGTGCCCTTTCATTTTCTTACTCTCCTCTCCTCCCTTCTCTCTCCATATACATAGTCTAGATGGATTCGTCATGTATGTACATCTAGCGTGGTCTTTATACGCGACGATGTATATGTGTGCGCGTATAGTAAAACAGGATAAAGAAAAAGCGATGAACTACATAATGTCACCAGTCTGTCTGTTCTGAAGACGAAAATACTATCACTTCGCTTTTAGATGGTAACAACCCAGGACGAACGTTCCGGCCTCCGGATCCACCAGGAAAGCAGCCTTTTCCGGCTCATTCCATTAACCGGTTTCCATCAATATCCGCACGGAAACCAGCAAGGCCGCCTCAATCCCAGAAGACAGACCACCAAATAAAATCACCGGATCCCGCCATAAACCTACGGAAACAAAGAAAAACGCAAATCTGCAAAAAGTTGCCCGCATCTTTAAAAAAAAATCGCAATATTCCGGCAACAGAATGCGTATACGGCCGTTTCCGAAAACCCAACTCCGCCAATAACCAATGGGATCCCAACTAAACCCAGGAAACGTAAACCACCGGGAAAACACATAAACGCTCAATTCCCACCATTTCCGCCGTTTCTCCAACAACGATATCAAATTTCCGCCATAAAATCACATAAAAAACAGCATTACGCGCCACACTCTTTCGAAACAACTCATACCCAATACCAAAGGCCACCAAAAACTCCATGTATAACCCCCATCTGACTAAAAAAACCAAATTTCACTATTACAATCCACGTTTCAACTCAAAACGAAAAAAGCAACTTCAACAAGTCCAAGCCATCTTATTCCATTCCCAATGCGATCACAACCCTACCCAAACTATGCCATTTGAAAACGTATAAGTCATTTGGATGTATTACAATCCGATTGCAATCCTGCAATCCACTGTGCAATCCTGCAATCCACTGGCAATCCTGCAATCCGCTGCGCAATGCATTGAAGGCTGCTTTGAGTTCGTCTGCTTGCTGTTGGCAGAATGGATATGGGCAGGATTTTGTAGTGGGTTTTGGGTAGTATGTGAATATGCGTCTTATTGGGACTGGATATGTGTGTTGCATGATTTTGTCGGATTGGTTCGGTTTTGGTAGGTTCCGACAGGTCATGGTTCGTCGGAAGTTTTTGGTGGGATTCCTTACTTTTCCGTTTGGGTAGTGCTGGAACCGGACGGATTTCATCCGGTTGAATCCGATCTGGAATCTTGCTTCCATGAAATATTCGGAAAAAACCGGCACCGGTCGGTTCCGGACCGGATTTTTCGACATGGGAAATTCGATTCTGAAACTCTTTCACGGTTACACGTTTCCTAAAGATGGTGAGTGAAAAACAAATCTGTCAGAGAATTGTAACGAAATGATATCGTTTTGCCATTTTTCAAATAGGAAGCCGTTACGTGTGTCCGTATTGTATGAACTGGTCGATCGGGGCAGTGAGAGACTTACTCAAGCACATTGACAAGGGTCATCACCAGGAGTACATACAGCTGGTCGAAGAAAGACGAAATTCCTTGCGGGCCTTAGACGAAGCCATGGAGAATGTGTCAGACGAGGTAATAAGTTTTTCAGATTTTTCTCTGTAAACTTTTTCGAGTAGGATGAAACAATGTCAACACCGTCGAATCCAACAATCAATGTAAGTATACCATGATGGCAACTATGGATGTAACAGTGCAGTTAGATTAGGGAAGAAGTGATGCTAGACGTTCAGTCGGTTCATTAACAATTAGATCATCGATTGAGTAGAAGAAAAATGGGTGCATCCCTCGACAAGATGGACATTGTTCGTATTGACGACTATACACTTTTCTTTTCTTATTCGACAATACTGATAATGACTGACCTTTTGTCAATTGAGCAACAATTATCCATTCACCTATACTTCGCTTCCACTTTTCTCTTCCATTTGACATATATATGGCATGCTTCTCTTCGTCATTTTATCAGTAGAATAAAGTGAACTTTGATAATTTTCATAGAGCAATANGATGGACATTCTTCGTATTTACGACAATACAATTTTCTTTTCTTATTCGGCAATACTGATAATGACTGACCTTTTGTCAATTGAGCAACAATTATCCATTCATCTATACTTCGTTTCCACTTTCGTCTTCCGTTTGACATATATATGGCATGCTTCTCTTCGTCATTTTATCAGTAGAATAAAGTGAACTTTGATAATTTTCATAGAGCAATAATGTCGCAGAAGGAACAAGTACAAAGTTTTCTGTTTATTGGCAGTATGTTTTATCAATTTTTTTCTAGAGTAAAGATGAGCAAATTAAATCTGCATTGCATCAGTTACACACTGATTGTCAGCACGACAAGATAAATTTCGAGCAATTTTTGGCTGCAATTCAAGCACTTCACGTGCCATCACTTCAATGAATTAAACAGACGGAACAAGCTCTCGTTATTCAAAAGATGACTTTTCTCATAAACGTTCATTACTTTGTATCAAACTACTCTGAATTTTTATGGTTCCAAATTTCGTCATTCATACTTCTTGCTCATCTTGGAGATTTTTTCAATAAACTTTATCCTGAAAGTATATGAAGAAACTAGCAACGCAATCATGCGCACTGTTCATTATTAAATTTTGTAGAATTTGTAAACAGGAGGAAGTAAATGTTGAAAAAACAGCACAAACTTCATATCATGGATCTAATTTGACAAAGTCGTGGAAAGAATCAATCGATCTTGAGTGAGAAGAAGTGTTGAGGCTAAAGAATAATTGAAACATTTCTGACTTGCACTTGCACATGTTTAATACCCTATATAAAGCGATGCGATCCTTTGTGGAATTACGAAATCATTACACTAAATGGATTAAATAGTTCACCTAATTATTTCAGTTCTTTTGCAACAGAATTTACGACTTTCTATCCAACCAGTGTTGATATAGGACTAAAAGATATATGAAGGGAAAATTGAACAAAGTTTTATTTGAGCTTTTGCATCTTTGATTGTAATCCATGTTGTGGTGCGATGGTCAGTATAGTTAATATAAATATCCAATCTTTGTCAGCCGCTGCTGAGAGTTTATTTGTTTTCTGGTCTCGAGTGTACTGATCTTGCATCTGTTGAATTACAGTCAGATAAATATCTTTCGGATTTATCCAAAGACGAAATGTGCCTCGCGGTAGCTTATAGACATGGAAAAGCTTATAACTGTCACTAACAGGTCAGTCACCTGCTGTCAAATTTGGCAGATTCCATTGACTTATATATGTTAGAATAGTGGAAATGAGGTACAGTTTATTGTTCAGTTATGATGGTACAGGAAAACACCAGAGCATATTGTATGGTTGTTCAATATCTTTCGTTAAAATATCTCACCTATGATACTTTTATCAGGATGCGTATTCTTGTTGACGAAAACACACATACATAATCGTATGTCATTGATACATCGTCTTATTGCGTTAGTCAGCGATTTCGAATTTAGTATAAAACATTCATTTCGTCAGCAATGCCTGTTTTTTTATTCTCAAAAATATCTGATATAGAGAGACTTCTATTGAATCAATAACAATAATGATATTTGAAAACTTCTGCCAAGTCTCTTTTATAATTGATATGTTATTTTGAATCTTCACAATTTCAACATGTATTTTTCGTTTTCTTGCCGTTGTCTTCGGCATTCAATCTTGTCAGAGCTACATATCTTTTCTATATTTGATAAATTCTCCTGCATCAAAACACTCCTTATCGCATAGCGTCTTTTTACATATGACTGAACCACTTATCGTTAGCATTTGTCAATTGAGTTTTCACGAACTCCTGGCCAGAATGAGCACATATACAACACTTCTGACCATTCTTCATCGTTATGATTTCGAAATAAAACCAGTGAAACATTTCGTGATGATGTTCTATATGTTTGTACTCATCGTGGAGCAGGTGTTGATATGAATAAAATTCATCGGAAAATGATGCTTCACATGGCCGCTGGACGAGCAGCGTGAAATCAAATTATCCAAAAGACATTCGCTTAATTGATTTCATATATCATTTAGATTTCCCAGTGAATTTTCGTTCAAATTGTTGATTTTTATGATTGTATTGATTCGACTGTTAGATTTTAATAGAATAAACTAATTCACACTCTGTGATGTGGCAGCAAAACGAAGTTCGAATGAATTTCAGGGTACAACCACGAATATCTATTTTTTATNTTCAACATCTAACCGGAGGCAATGGACCGTCAAGAAACCAGATGTTGTCAAAATTCATATCGTGAAATTTGAATGGATTGATCCACGCCTAAAAACATCTCTAAATGCAAATCCCGACAACTAAATTTCACTCACATCGAAATGAAAGAAAAGAATTCCGTTGATTTCCGGATGCTCTTTCAAAATAATCGTCATTGTTTCGCTAACCATTTTATAAGGAAAAGATATGGAGACTAACCCATCAACGGTTAAGTTCAATTTTGGTGTGTAATTCGGAATGGAATAATGTAGTTCATAGAAGAATGGACGATATCTTTCCATTAAAGGAATCCGATTGACAAACGCGGAATTCCAACGGATGAAACCGAGAGTATGAGAAAATGGAGATACTATTCGATCTTCTTTTTTCTCAACAGTTTTAACTGAAATTTCGAGTTTTGTTCGATTGTCTAACGAATAAATTCCATAAAAAAGGATAAGAATTAAAATAAAGAACAGAATTAGTTTATAGACAAAAAGAAATGGCGACTTTTCACTTGGATTCATGATTTTCTACTGAACTCGCTTCCAAAACCGAAGATTTCCATTGAATGAATGAACATGTTCTTTTCCTGGAGGACATAGCAATTATTACTAATGTATCTTACTTCAAACAATTCTTTGTCTTTAAAAAAAGAGAAAGAAGGAATGTTAATTAAATTGAAAGGAAATTCTCTTTCCTTCTCAAACAAAAAAAATTTCCTTGAAATATAGAAATAACTTTTTTTTTCCTTTTTAGTCAAATGAAGAAGTAAAGAAATGACTGGGAAAAAGATTTTCGCGTTCGTAAGTTTATTAGTGATCCAAGTCATCGTCTCAATTGTTTACAAATATTCTCAAAAACACGGCAAATACGAATATTCTCCATTATCAACGATTTCTTGTTCCGAAGCGATCAAATTCTTTCTCAGTCTCATCTTATTAATCAATTCCTACCGAAAGCTCGACACTAGTGACCAATTTTCCGACTATGTAACCAAACAGATCTCCACTTATTTTCTTCTAAATTCCTGCCTGTTGGCGCTTTTATATTGCGTTAACAATCAGTTAGCATTTCAATTATTTTTATCCGTTGATCCTGCTTCGATATCTTTATTCAAATCTTTATCTTCATTCGAATGTGCGATTTTATTATGGACGTTTTTTGATCGTCAGATCAATCAAATTCAATGGTCATCGATTTGTTTACAAGTCCTCGGATTGATTATTGTTCAATATGATACTTGTCATCATTCAGCGTTGTTTCAAATGAAATTCTATTTTATGCTGATTTTGAGTAGTTTGATCACAGCATTATCATCGGTGTTGAATGAATATTTCATCAAAGCGTATTCAGTGGAAATAAATCTACAAAATTTAGTTTTGTATTTGTTTGGATTCTGTTTGAATTTCACGTTATTTTACTTCATTCCGAATCTGGATGGACATGGAAATAAAAGCTTCTTTCAAGGATATACACTAATGGTCATAGCGGTTATTACGTGTAATTCATTCCTCGGAATAACGATCACATTTGTTTATAAATATGCGGACGCGATTGTCAAGACGTTTAGTACGGCATGTGCCACAGCTGTTCTTCTGTTCTTTAATTTAACTTTATTTCATTCCTATGCGACATTGACATCATTTTTGGGAGCGGCAATAATTTTTATCTCATCATATGTTTATTTTGCTGCGACAACAAATTCGACTGCAATTAAAGTTGAAGCTCAAGAGAATTCGAAAACAACTTCACCGAAATCGAAGTTGATCATGAAATGGATTATTTACTTGACTTCGATTTTCGTTTTCATTTGTTCTGTTTTGTATTTCTTCATTCCGATTCGTCGATATTATTCAAAAATGTAATGCGCTTTCAATAGAAATAAATTAGGCATTTTTTGCTTGAATAGAATATCATTCATCAGCTATATTCCAAATATGGAAACAGTACTCGAGCAATTAACAAGAACTGAACAAAAGATTGATAGAAGAATGACATAGAGTATGTCGAACAAATACAAAAGGTGTGAACTCAGGCGATGACGTCATCAATCACTTTGTCTAATTGAGACTATAAGACACAGTAACTACGTTAAATAGGACATGATGTACATTCTTCACCAAAAAAGGCCAATTTCAGCTCGATGAAGCGTTTTGAATTTCTGACTCTATCCAAGTATCACGAAAAAGTATTTGCAGCACGCCAATACTATCTAGACAGTGAGATTAAGAATAAATTCGCATTGCTCTTCAGACATTTATTCACTGAGAGATCGTTTTTTTATGTTTTCTTTCTTCTTGCCATAATGTTGCATAAAACAAGTGCATATAGGGAAATAAGAACTTTAAAATCCTTGTTACTCATTCAAAATCGATATTCTCAGTGTGATTAACGATCGTATTTATCAAAAAAAGTTCATTTATCCTGACTAGAATAATGGGATAAACCTTGTGTTTTCTTCTATCCAGTTGTTTTTGCGCACTTTCATTTTGTTCCTCTTCTCTCTCTCCATATACACATTCTAGATGGATTCGTCATGTATGTACATCTAGCGTGATCTTTATACGCGACGATGTATATGTGTGTGCGTATAGTAAAACAGGATAAAGAAAAAGCGATGAACAACAAATGTCACCAGTCTCGCTGTTCTAAAGACGAAAATGCTATCACTTCGCTTTTAGATGGTAACAAATTCGATTCTGAAACTTTTTCACGGTTACACGTTTCCTAAAGATGGTGAGTGAAAAACAAATCTGTCAGAGAATTGTAACGAAATGATATCGTTTTGCCATTTTTCAAATAGGAAGCCGTTACGTGTGTCCGCATTGTATGAACTGGTCGATCGGGACAGTGAGAGGCTTACTTCAGCACATTGACAAGTGTCATCACCAGGAGTACATACAGCTGATCGAAGAAAGGCGAAATTCCTTGCGGGTCTTAGACGAAGCCATGGAGAATGTGTCGGACGAGGGGCAATTGCCCGCACCCTCTTGAAAACAATTTTTTCAGCTACCCAGGTCGATCATTCCGGCGACTGGACCCGTTGAAATCTGAATCGGATCCGGCACAGTTTTCGCCGATTCCAGAAGGTTCCTTGCCGCCGGATTCCGGTCGGAATTGCACAGGAAATATCCGATCAGTTCCTGATCGTTTCCACTTCGAAGTTTGCAGCAAACGGCCCGGAAATGGTCGGAAAACGAGTCTAACCGGCCGGAACCGACCGTGCCATAATAACCTGGGTAGGAATTTGAAAAAATGTCTTAAAAGCAGGCTTTTTCAGCTTTTTCTCTGTAAACTTTTTCGAGTAGAATGAAACAATGTCAACACCATCGAATCCAACAATCAATGTAAGTATACCATGATGTCAACTATGGATGTAAGAGTGCAGTTAGATTAGGGAAGAGGCGATACCAGACGTTCAGTCAGTCCGTTAACAATTAGATGATCGACTGAGTAGAAGAAAAATGGGCGCATCCCTCAACAAGATGGACATTCTTCGTATTTACGACAATACAATTTTCTTTTCTTATTCGGCAATACTGATAATGACTGACCTTTTGTCAATTGAGCAACAATTATCCATTCATCTATACTTCGTTTCCACTTTCGTCTTCCGTTTGACATATATATGGCATGCTTCTCTTCGTCATTTTATCAGTAGAATAAAGTGAACTTTGATAATTTTCATAGAGCAATAATGTCACAGAAGGAACAAGTACAAAATTTTCTGTTTATTGGCAGTATGTTTTATCAATTTTTTTCTAGAGTAAAGATGAGCAAATTAAATCTGCAGTGCATCAGTTATACACTGATTTTCAGCATGGCAAAATAAATTTCGAGCAATTTTTGGCTGCAATTCAAGCACTTCACGCGCCATCACTTCAATGAATTAAACAGATGGAACAAGTTCTCGATATTCAAAAGATGACTTTTCTCATAAGCGTTCATTACTTTGTATCAAACTACTCTGAATTTTTATGGTTCCAAATTTCGTCATTCATACTTCTTGCTCATCTTGAAGATTTTTTCAATAAACTTCATCCTGAGAGTATGTGAAGAAACTAGCAACACAATCATGCGCACTGTTCATTATTAAATCCTGTAGAATTTGTAAACAGGAGGAAGTAAATGTTGAAAAAACAGCACAAACCTCATATCATCGATCTAATTTGACAAAGTAGTGAAAAGAATCGATCGATCTTGAGTGAGAAGAAGTGTTGAGGTTAAAGAATAATTGAAACATTTCTGACTTGCACATGTTTGATACCCTATATAAAGCGATGCGACCCCTTGTGGAATTACGAAATCATTACACTAAATGGATTAAATAGTTCACCTGATTATTTCAGTTCTTTTGCAACAGAATTTACGACTTTCTATCCAACCAGTGTTAATATAGGACTAAAAGATATATGAAGGGAAAATCGAACGAAGTTTTATTTGAGCTTTTGCATCTTTGATTGTAATCCATGTTGTGGTGCGAGGTCAGTATAGTTAATATAAATATTCAATCTTTGTCAGCCGCTACTGGGAGTTTATTTGCTTTCTGCTCTCGAGTGTACTGATCTTGCATCTGTTGAATTACAGTCAGATAAGTATCTGTCGGATTTATCTAAAGACGAAATGTACCTCGCGGTAGCTTATAGACATGGAAAAGCTTATAACTGTCACTAACAGGTCAGTCACCTGCTGTCAAATTTGGCAGATTTCATTGACTTATATATGTTAGAATAGTGGAAATGAGGTACAGTTTATTGTTCAGTTATGATGGTACAGGAAAACACCAGAACATATTGTATGGTTGTTCAACATCTTTCGTTAAAATATTTCACCTATATGATACTTTTATAAGGATGTGTATTCTTGTTGACGAAAACATACATACATAATCGTATGTCATTGATACATCGTCTTATTGCGTTAGTCAACGATTTCGAATTTAGTATAAAACATTCATTTCGTCAGCAATGTCTGTTTTTTTATTCTCAAAAATATTTGATACAGAGAGACTTCTATTGAATCAATAATAATAATGATATTTGAAAACTTCCGTCAAGCTTCTTTTATAATTGATATGTTATTTTGAATCTTCACAATTTCAACATGTATTTTTCGTTTTCTTGCCGTTGTCTTCGCCATTCAATCTTGTCAGAGCTACATATCTTTTCTATATTTGATAAATTCTCCTGCATCAAAACACTCCTTATCGCATAGCGTTTTTTTTACATATGACTGAATCACTTATCGTTAGCATTTGTCAATTGAGTTTTCACGAACTAACTCCTGGCCAGAATGAGCACAGATACAACACTTCTGACCATTCTTCATCGTTATGATTTCGAAATAAAACCAGTGAAACATTTCGTGGTGATGTTCTATATGTTTGTACTCATCGTGGATCAGGTGTTGATATTAATAAAATTCATCGGAAAATGATGCTTCACATGGCCGCTGGAGGAGCAGCGTGAAATCAAATTATCCAAAAGACATTCGCTTAATTGATTTCATATATCATTTAGATTTCCCAGTGAATTTTCGTTCAAATTGTTGATTTTTATGATTGTATTCATTCGACTGTTAGATTTTAATAGAATAAACTAATTCACACTCTGTGATGTGGCAGCAAAACGAAGTTCGAATGAATTTCAGGGTACAACCACGAATATCTATTTTTTATCCTGTGCAAAATTTGTTACAATCCGGAGACAACAGATACTTCAGCACACTATGTGATAAGTCGTAAGGTTATGCAAGTTGCCATAGATCGGACGAAAATTCGCGAATAATAGAAATTTCATAATAATAAATAACACAATTCATCAAATCCACTTGATGCTAAATGTGACCAAATTGGCATTTTATGAAAAGTATAAACCTAAAAGGTAGAGATACAGATGATTCGAAAGCAATTTCTACATAGTAATAAGTAATGAGAAGACATTGAAGTGATAAGAATTGTTTATTTGAATAAGAGAGAGAAAAGTGTTTTGTAAAACAAAGATAATGATTATTTGAGGGTGTTTTCAAGTTGAAACAAGTTAAGCAGTGTGTCGATGAAATTTGGTGAGTATTTACGAAGGAATTTAACATCAGAATGGTCATCTCAATATATTGATTATGAAAATCTGAAAGAATTACTTTATGAAATTGTAAATAAAGCGCCAACAGACGAAAGTTCATTGAGACAAGAATATTTTGTCCAGGCTGATCAAGAATTTCTGCAAGTAATTTGAATTACTAAAAGATTTTCATCGTATTATTTCGATTTTTAGTGTTGTGAGAGAGAATCAATAAAAATCAATACTTTTTTTGCACAAAAACTAGCTCAGTAAGATCAACGGAATTTATTTCAAAGAAAATTCATCGAATTGTACTTTAGGTCGTTGCTGCAATTTGACAACCTGAAAAGTGAACTTGAATATCTTGAAGAAAACGATCGGCATGACCATTTGTTCTTTACAAATAGATTATTCTTAAGAGCATTTTCGACGAATGAAAACAATTCGAATCATACATCGAATTATTCGCAATTGCGATCAATACGAAAACTGAAGAAACATCGCTCAATGAAATTAAATGATTTGAAATTAGCCCTAAGTGAATTCTATCTGATGTTAATTCTCTTAAAAAATTATCAAAGTCTCAACTACAATGGATTTTGCAAAATTCTAAAAAAACATGACAAATTATTCCAAATGACAACCGGGTGTCAATGGAGGTAATTATCACATTTCTAACCTTTGCAATGCTTTTGTTTGAGGATAGTCTACTGCCGATATGATATACATAGCGATGAGCATGAGTTGTTATAAATGACGATCCACTGTTTGTTAGAACTTCAACAGAACATATTTATATCGATTGTGGAAATAGAAAATAAACTTCTTTTGACTTTAATTACGGCTCGGACGAGAGGTTTTAAAAATAAGGATCGTTTGTTTTAGAATCAGCTATATTGATTGCGCCCCATTTTATCGATCGACTCGTGTTGATGGATTAATAAGTGAAATTGAAAATGTTTATATCAATAAGATTGAACATGGAGATCGAAGTCGTGCAATGCAACGTCTTCGTGTTCCACCATTAGAAGAGAATCAATCGCGGAGCGTAACATTCCGTCTAGGAATGTTCTTTGGAATGCTTCTGCTCTTAGTTCCATTGTTATTAATCGTTTCTATATCGTTTTATGCTTCGCATTCGTCGAAATCAATCGACTGGCGTTCTGGACTTCATTTATATCGTTCGTCGTTTTTACTTATAATTCATATAATTTTTTTCGGATTGAATGTGTTCGGCTGGTCAACAAATGGAGTTAATCATGTTTTAATATTTGAATTAGATCCAAGAAATCATTTAACATATCAAAAATTTCTCGAAACTGGAACATTTCTAATGGTTTTATGGTTTATTAGTTTAAATTTGTTCTTCGTATGCTTTTATTTCGATTATTATCCATTTGTCCAACCGGTGAGTTTCATCATATTTCTAATTTTATTTTTTCTGAACCCGTTGCCAATATTTTATCAAAAATCTCGCAAATGGTTGCTGAAAAAGTTACTTCGTATATGTTGTGCTCCGTTTTATCATGTCAATTTCGCTGATTTCTGGCTTGCGGATCAGTTATGTTCCTTGGAATTGGTCTTTTTCGATATCGAATTCTTCTTCTGCTTTTACACCAATGAAAGCAACATCATTTCATCGAGCTCATCACATAAGTTCTTTTGCAGTGGCTGGTCGCAAGTTGTCCTGCAATCGATATTTCTACTGCTTCCATCCTGGTTTCGTTTTTGGCAATGCGTCCGTCGTTATCGCGATACAAAGCAAAGATTTCCTCATTTGGTCAACGCCGGAAAGTATGCGAGTACTTTATTGGTCGCGGTGACAAATGCACTACGACGGACGAAGAATTTCGATTATCATCAACACAAATTGGAAAATCCTTTTTTGTATTTGTGGATTTTAATGTCGCTTTTCAGTTCAACTTATAAAATGATTTGGGATTTGAAAATGGACTGGGGCTTTTTCGATAAAAATGCCGGAGAAAATCGATTTATAAGAGAACAAATTATCTATCCGCGAAAGATTTATTATTATATTTCGATTGTTCTCAACGTTATTTTGCGATATGTTTGGATTATCAATGTTTTTATTCATTTTAACTCGTTATTTGGAGAGTTTTCGGATATCATTGGCTTTTCATTTGCTTTGATTGAAATCTTCCGAAGGTTTATTTGGAATTATTTTCGGTTGGAAAATGAACATTTGACAAATTGTGGACAGTTTCGTGCTGTGAGAGATATTTCGATTCGGCCAACACCAAAATTGATAAAAAATTCGAGAACGACGCAACAAACGGAAGACGATGAACAATTAACGACTAATGGAATTCCATTGACAGTTATTAATGATTCTCAGCATTTGTCTCGTTTAACAAGAAGAAAAACAAACGCGGAAGAGTTTATTGAAGAAATTAACCCGATTTTAACAATCAATAAGAATGAAAATTATTCTCTCGATGATCAGATAGACTCGATGGCATAATATCAATGCGAGTTTTTGAATATTAGGAAGTTATTCGAGTTCACTTTTTTAAAAGTTTTGTATTTCTTCATAATAGATTGTCTTTAAAGACACAAAATACGGACAAACTGAAAGCTTTCTGACGTCTCATGTGTATCTCGTTTCGCATATTGTCTCTCAAGAAAAACAAATTTTAAGTAAAAGTCAGAAAATAAAATCTAAATCGGAATAGTTTGTGCGCGTTTATCATTTTATCATTCATATTGCATAATCCGTCATACTTTTTGCTTGATTATATCATTTAATAAATGACAGGAAAAACATTAAAAGCGAAACATCATACGTTCGGTCATGGCACTTCAATTGATTGGTCAGCGGCAGACAAACAAAAACAGAATAATAACAATAGATTATTCATATACATTAACGTTTCTATTAGAATTACCGATGTACTTCACATTTCGTTAAGGGTTCCACGTCTCGACAGCTGCTTCGGGTGCAGGATTCCACGTCTCGACAGCTGTTTCGGGAGCAGGGTTCCACGTTTCGACAGCCGCCGCAGGTGGAGGATTTGTCGGTTCAACGATTGACTCAGCTGTGGGATTAGACGGTGTAACAGTTGATTCAGGTGCAGGATTCCACGTCTCGACAGCCGCTTCAGGAGCAGGATTCCATGTCTCGACAGTTGCTTCGGGAGCAGGGTTCCACGTCTCGACAACCGCTTCAGGAGCAGGGTTCCACGTCTCGACAGCCGCCTCAGGTGGAGGATTTGTCGGTTCAACGATTGGCTCAGTTGTGGGATTAGACGGTGCAACAGTTGCTTCAGGTGCAGGATTCCACGTTTCCACAGTTGCTTCAGGTGCAGGATTCCACGTTTCCACAGTTGCTTCCGGAACAGGATTCCATGTTTCGGCAGTCGCCGCAGGTGGAGAATTTGTCGGTTCAACAATTGTTTCAGGTGTGGGATTAGATTGTACAACTGTTGGTTCAGATGCAGAATTCCATGTTTCAATGACCGGAGAACGTGGTGGATTCCATTTTTCGACGACTGGTTTTGGGGTTACAAGTGGAGGAGGATTCCACGTTTCAATTACTGGTTGAGGAGCTGGTGTTGGTATGTAAGGCGGTGCTGGATCAGGTTTTTTAACTGGTATCGGTGTTGGCGTTGGTTGTGGGGTATTTGGTCGAACCGTTGATGGTTGATTCGGTTGTACTGGTTGTGGCCTTATTATCTTAATTTCAGTTCTTTTGACAATGGTTGGCGCTGATGTTGGTTGTAGCTGGGGCTTAGGCACAGGTTTGGGTGCAGGCGTATACTGTGGCTTATTTTCAAAACCATTTTGATTCGTCTGAGTAACAAATGGTTGTGGCTGATATGGTTTTGGATGAACAGTAATACTTCTTCCAGCTTGATTACATTTTCCAAAACACCTGCAAGTATTTTGACATCCACATCTTTCCGCACATTCACAAGAACAACAGCAGCAAATGATAATAATAACAATAATAAGTAAAATAATGAAACATCCAATTGCCAGTCCAATGATTCCTCCTGTTGTTAAGGAATTACATGTAGCAACAGTCGAATCATATGTGCAATTAATTGATACCATATTGAAATATTCTATATGCAAAATAGATTCCGAGAGTTAAAGCATGCTGGAAGTAGTCGACACTTTTTCTGTCAAATAAATTCTTTTTCTATTTATTCTTGTTCATTTTACTCGTGTGATCGGGGGTAAAACAAATAATCGTTGTCAAAGCAAAAATGAAGGTAAAAAGTGTAGGTATATTACAAAAACAAAAAAAACACGTCTCGCTGCTTTTACACTGCTAAAACAACAAGACTTCATTATGATTGACATGATGAACCAACGATTTTCGCCTTTAAAATTCGTGAAAATAACCAAAATTTAATCGACAAAAACAAATTTATTCTTTTAAACCCGACAAGAGAAAAGCCAGTACGCCGATAAGATGAAAAATATGGTAATCTTTCAGTCTAAATCCATTTCGTAAAGTTGAATGCGATAATTTAAGCTATCCGCTACATAAAGATTTCCTTGTTGATCGAATGCTAAACCTGTTGGATAAGCTAATTGATTGGATTCTTTTCCATTACCATTACCTCCGACAACCACTGATCCTTTATTATCTCCTTCGATCCACTTCATAATTCGATGATTTCCCCAATCAGCAATGAAGATTTGATGAAATTGATCAACAACTATCGCATGCGGATGAATTAACTTTTCTTGTTAATCTCCACAGTCATTTCCTCCTGCGACAACGATTCCTTGCCGTGCATTTTTTTCCCATTTCATGATTCGATGATTGAAATTGTCTGCAACATAGATCGAATCCTCTGAATCAATGAAAATATACGTTGGCCCATTGAACTGATTTAGTTTATTTCCATTTCCATTGCCACCAGCAACTAAAATTCCATTGATTTTACCTTTTTTCCATTTTCTTATCTCATTCTTTTCGTAATCGGAAACGAAGATATTTCCATTTGTGTCCATTGCTAATCCCCAACAATCGATATCGTTGAAGAGAACTTCTTGATTCTCTTTGTATCGCCCGTAACATCGAATAACGCGTCGGTTTTCTCGATCGGAGATGATGAACGACTTTTTATCTTTGTAGAAAATGACGTTCATCGGACATTTGATTCTTTCGTTGACATTTCGTTTCGGATTTTCATCAACAATGATTTGACCGCTTTTCGAACGAAATTTCCACAAAAGTACGCGATGATTTTCCGTATCGGCAATGAGTATGGTTTTGTTTTCATCGATTGAAATCCCTTCAAAGCGAGAAACTTGATCCAATCGGTTGCCTTTTCCGCAATCACCGATGATTGTCAGTCCTTTTTGCTTCCATTTCTTGTTTTGATCTAAAAGACATAAATATAAACGAAAACAGAAAAGATTATTTTTGTGTATCACCTGATGACTTCGTGAAAGTAGTATTTCCACTGGAAACGATTTTCTTTTCGTTTGAAAATAGTGATTTTTCATGGGAATTCAACGATAAATCCAAAGAAACTGGAATATTTTGGTACGAAGACGATTTTTGTCTTAATTGAATCATAAATAAATCCTTTCCGGCTTGCCATTTCGCAAGAACTTGAAAGAAACTTCCCGGCATTAGCAAAATTTCGTTTTCATCTTTAAATGCTGAATGAGATTGAAGAGATTTGCCATCGAAACATTCGACCTGAAAGATCGTTCGAACTCCGCTCGTTCCAAGATAACTTTCTAAAATGTTTAATGATTCAAAACACGAGCTATTCGCCCACCAGACATGATCAACGTTGTAATGATCGCAGAGATTCGCACGTGCACCGCGCCAAACAGTTCCTTTGATTGATGGAAGTTTACACAATGCTGTGAAAAACAGTTTTAGAAACGGAAACCAAGGAGTTAATCCATGTCGATTTTTCGAGCGAAGGTGCTCGTTTAAGAGGCTCGACAAACTTCGATGTGGCGGAGACCATGACATTGTGTAAAGATAGATCGAACCAGACTCATCCGGAGTTAATTTATTCGCAGGTTTTTGACAATTTTGTTCAACGATTTCGAGAATCGAGTCGATATCGTAAAGTAACGATTTGATTGGCTCGAGTGATTTTCTCAACGAAAGTAATCGGCAACTTTCGTAGCCTTGGATCGTTAAGAAAAATCGATCGGGCTCTTCGGTGGCATCGAAGAAGCGTCGAGGAATTATTCGTCCAGACATTGAGCTAAGAAGAAAAAGGACAACTTTTTTTTTGTAAACTATGGTGACAACATTTGTAAATGTTTTGTGTTGTGAAACATTTAACAAAGAGAAAAACAAATTTGCTTTTTTCGTTCTCTGCCAAAAAACAAAACCATGTGAACGAGAAAAATTTGAAATGAAATTCGACTTCTTCGTTTATTCGCTCATCTTGAATGGAATTTATATATTTATTGATAATCAGATTAAATATTTTTCGCATTAAGCTGAGTCTTTCGAAAATAAAAACGAATCAATCGGTGTGGTAGATCACTTTTTCCCACGCGGAATTCGTATTCAGACTTTGAACAGTTCCACATCGATATCCTCCATCACCAGGAGAAGTATGCCAACATAATCGATAGCTACCATTTGGTGATTCTGTATCACAAGAGCCCCGTGCAACCGAATCCCCGACTTTTGCAAAGCCCCAAGAATATGATTCGGAGTAATACCAATTAGCTCCATTAGCTGCATGTGTACAATTGATGGCTTTTTCACAATTGAAAAGAACATCTTCTCGATTTCCAGCAGCAGCGACAGCTAAATTTGTCGTTCCAACTCGTCGACAAGCAAGGAGCAATTTTTTCCCGTTGCATCTGTTCAAAATGTCTTCAAGGGCCGTCGAATTCATAGAGTGCGAATAAGATTCAGTGTAACAGTTGCTCCATTTAGCAGATAATGATGAAGGATCAAAATTCAGTTGAACTCCAAAAAATGGAAGAGGTTCTTCTAAGAAAAACAACGATTATTCAGTTAAGATTCTCAAGTTTATTGGAAAAAGGATAAAAATGTTTTCAATAAAATAAATCTTTCGTAAAAGAAATGTTCTTTTTCGATGATAAAGTCTTAATTAACTCCATATGAGTTCTTCACTGACCTTGAGTTTCGCAAGCCAATCTTTCCCGTTGTTTACATGCATATCCAGCTGGACAAGGGCTACATTCAAGCATGCCAATATATCGGGCCTGTGTGCCAGGTGCACAAACCCGACAGCACGTTTGACGTGTAGCATTGTTGAATGTACCTTGCGGACAACGTTCAGCATCTTCAGCTGTGTTGGGACACATATGTGCTTTTGGACAATCATAGCACATTGCTGATCCTGGTGCTGGAGCAAATGTACCTCTCGCACATGGTGTACATTCTGTAGCTCCTCCTTCGCTATATGTTCCTGGTGGACAGAGTTCTTCTTCCCACATGTCAGCGTTTTGGGGAACTAATGAACGAAGCATTCCTTTGGAGGCTCGTGCACGACAACGGTAGCCAGGTCGACATTCTTGAATTGTCAAACTGAAAGTATTGGCAGCCAAGCAAAGAAAAAGCACAGCGAGTAAAACCGATTTTGCCATTGGGTGAGAATGAGTGTTTGCAAAATGAAAATGTATCGAGTGAAGCAGTACTGCAGACATTTATACATATTCATTTGACAAAAATATTGACTCACAAATATGATACATTGTTGTTTTTTCCAACGCAACTGTACATGATTTTCATGCACACTTCCGTTGTTTTTGCAAATATCGGTTACATTGTATATATATCTAGGTATCCGTTTTAGAGGAGAACAGACGAAATGTCAACAAGAATTATTCCGTTTTAACAAAAAAAAAACGGCTGTATTTATATTTATTTATCAGCAATTCCCAAAAGAATCGAATGACATAATAAACTTATTGGATTACGGATCTGGATGAAATACAGTTGATAAGGATTATGAAGCAAAAAATATCCAACATCTTCAAGACAATCATTGTCAAAAGAGACAAGAAAACTATGTGATCATCAAGCTTCAACAAATGTCATCGGTACTTCTAATTGAATTTGAGTAATTGTAACAAGATATAAAAAAACATTGAATCGAGCACTGTGTTTCGGAGATTGTTGTTGAAAGGATGGGAGGCGCATCAGACCGTAAATCAGCCCATTTCAAAATCAGCTAGGAAATACCAAATACGATGCAGAATGAGACGGAGAATCTCTCCACACCAAATTCAGATCAATTTGAAACCATGTGAAAGAGCAAACAGTTTTGCACAAAATCAAATATGAATCACTGTGAAAAGGTATATAGGACGAAGTCATGATGGCTACATATGCAGTCATCATGACTTCGCCCTATATACCTTTTCATGGGGATTCACATTTGATTTGGCGTAGAAAGATTCTCCATCTCATTCTGCATCGTACTCGGTATTTTCCTAGCTGATTTTAAAATGAGCCGATTTACAGTCTTATACGCCTTCCGTCGTTTCATTTGACCAAAGACTACTATTCTACATATGACATTGATGTATAAAACTTTGATGTATATTGTTCGTTTCGAACTAGACATTTTATCTTTAATGGTTCTGTTTCTCCACCACGTTATAGTCCGGTTAGAAAAAAAGCTACTACTGGTAAGCTTTGTTTTTTCGTACCGTACAGTTAAATAACCGAATAACATTAGTTGTATTGCGATACGAATGACTGAGAAGCACCAACTTAATATTCACCATTTGGATGACGTTTCGATGAGCACAGAAAAAAAGGAAAGTCCGCAAGTCGACCTAACGATACATCTGAACTTTGTTTATATGAGTAGAGATTGATATTGTAAAGGTCAAAAGACAATGAACACGTTCATTTGAATCGAATAAAGTCTATGCGAGACTAGAAGGAGATATTTTCAACTAGTTCGTATAATATTCTGAATATGCGAACATAGACATGTTATCGAAAAGATAATATCGCGATATTGTGTATATTTTGTCTTGGTTTGATTTATATTAACGGACCAATGGATATCTATTGCCTTCTTAGCATAGATGTGACAAAAATTCAAATATGTGCAATCATTTTTTTTTTTATTTCTTATTTGATGATCTGTGAAAATTTCATCCCACCTATCATATTGGAAAATAACAACTTAATGAATCGTTGGTAGAGCTCATTAATTCAAGTAACTATTTGTTTATATATGTTTACAGTCACCGCGGTGTTGGCTTAGAACGAACTGAGCCCGATCAGCAAAGAACGAAAAAAGTATCGTACAAAAAAAAGTGCACAACAAGCAGAGAGAGGGAAACAACAAGAACAAGCAAAAGTAATACACGCAAACCATTCGATAAATAAAGATATTTTCTAAAGGTGAGTCAATATTGGATTCTAATTCGGATAGCAGTAGAGGGTTCAAAACAACTCTTCCAAGCACGCATACATCTATTTCTCATAGATCCGCTTTCCAAAGAAACACGTACAGATGGTTGATCAGTGCATTAAACCGAATACAACCAAGGTATAATCCATTCTCTTTTCAGAAGTATTTTTACTAAGAAAAGAATAAATTCAGAATTAACGAATAATTATCACATTAAACAGCCAATAACAAATCTTCAGACGTTTCATGAATATGTGCCTGTGACTGGCACTGCTTAGATTAGAAAAATAATCTTCAACTAGAGAACTCAACAGATTTTTTCATATTACCTCATGAATACGTGGAATAAATCTTCTATTTTTAGATCGAATCAAGTAGTCGTGCTCTCGCTAAATGCATTTAGTAGATTGATTTATTATGACATCAGAAGTATCACTTCCTCAAAAGCAGTCATCTCATACAATCGAACAAATATCAATTTACGATGTCAGAACCAACTGTCAATGTCGTCTCATACTTCTCGCTCTTTCAATCGCCGTGTTTCTGTTACCTTTTTCTGACTTTGTTTATTTACCTGCTCTTACCCAGATCGAACGTGACATGAACACATCGGATGCAGTCGTTGAAGACAGTGTGTCAGTCTATTTATTCATGGGTGGTATTTCGAGTCTTTTCTGGGGATCAATCTCTGATCGATACGGTCGCAAACTTACATTAATCGTATCTCTCAGTCTATTTGCGACTACATCTATAGTATGCATTCGTGCCGCCAATGTTATTCTTCTTGTTTTCTCTCGAGCCATACAAGGTGCTACTATATCTGCACCATTAGTCATTGGACAAGCTATCATCGCTGACATTTATCCGGAGAAGAAACGAGGATCTGCAGCAGGGTGGTTTTTCCTTCCGTTCAATATAGGCCCAATAGGTGGTCCATTGTTGGGTGGCCCGCTTTCCAGCGCATTTACTTGGCACAGTACCTTTGTTCTCTTGGCAATATTTTCCATTTGTGCGATCATTCTGATACTTGTTCTCGTACCTGAAACTCATCAATATTATATCAAAGAACAATTTCATAAAACAAATCCTGACAAACGAATCATTGATGTTGAGTTTAGCAATCCGACACAGTTCAAAAATCCACTCAAGGCAGTCGCGTATTTGTATGACTTAACAATTCTTCCGTATATCGCTGTGGCAGCAGCAACTTCTGCTACTCTAGCATCTACAGAAACTCTTTTCCCTGTTTATCTAGGAAAGAACCCTTATAACTTTTCACAGACTACTATCGGTTTATTGTACGTTCCAAGCGGCATTGTCCTTTTCATAAGTAGTCTGTTGGGTGGATGGCTTTCTGACCTTGCAAGTGTCTACTATAGCCATAAAAGATGTCTGGAAGGACGTGTTGTGCCTAATTTAATTTTGAGCACTTTGACGCCGATTGGATTGTTGATTTTTGGATGGAGTGTCCAATGCAACGCTCACATATCTGTCGTCATTGTTGGCTTATGTATCGCTAGCTGTGGTCAAGCATTATTTGAGCCATGTGCATCGGCTTATCTAACAGCAAAGAAACAGAGCGATGCAGGAACTGTGTCTGCTGCAAATGTATGTTTAGATTTATGTGCATCTGGTGTTTTGGTATCTATCGGTGTTCCTCTTACCGGAGTAATCGGCAGTGGAGCTTATTTTTCTCTTTTGGCCGCATTGACATTGATGAGTATTGTACCGGTTGGTGTAATAGTTTACAACTCCATCAAACGGGCCAGTTATTCTATCGGAGAATACGATGCGATTGTCTCAGAGCTTGATCCTGCGAACGAAAATACAAAATTAAGAAAGTAAATATGTTGAGTGTCACATTTTGACTAGCTCAGTTAGCAAACTTGCTTTTATATTTTCATATTTAATAAATAGCTTTTTCTTATAAATAATTAACGATGAGCACGTCTGTATAATAAAAGTATTTTTGGAGTACTACGCGAAAAAGTCGAAAATTTCATTTTGTTCCTGGCAGATCACTAACGCCACCTATCGAAAGACGATTATGATAATATACATGTATATTGATTGATTGATTGAATATTATAACCAACGACGAAAAGTCTTAATTGACATAAATCAGTCGAAAATGAAGATCGCAGTGTTTGGCGCAACCGGAACAACCGGTGTCATATTTGTCGAACAAGCTTTGAAAGAAAATTATCAATTAAAACTATATTGTCGTCCACGATCGATCGTCAAACTAGGTGAATTATCTTCACATGCATCCGTGGAAATTATTCAAGGGGGATTCGACGATGATTTCACACCTGCAGTCCGAGGAGTTGCTGTCGTCATTAGTTTCCTTGGTCCTGGATTCAATTGGCCGTCGGGCAATCCATTAGAAAAAGTGATGATGAAAATTATGCAAGCCATGAGAAATGAAGGAGTGAAAAGATTTGTGACAATGGGAACGCCGACAATAGCCGATCCTTTGGATAAAAATGTCTTCAAGTATCGAATTATAGTTTCTTCATTGAAACTTCTCCAACCGAATGTTTATAATGACATGGTCGCCATTGGAAATTTATTCAAAAGCGGAAACTACGATGATTTAGATTGGACTGTTGCGCGTATTTGTTTTTTGAAAAACTCCGCTCAACCAGAAGAACAGATCCACGTCGGATATGTTGGCGACGGTCAAGGTTCGCTCGTCAGTCAACGAGTTCATTGGGTGAAATTTATTTTGACGGAAATTTTGGAAAATCATTGGATTCGGAAAATGCCATTTATAACTTCAATATAAAGAAAAAAACTCTTTTATTCTTCTGAACTTTCAATTTGTTCTTTTAATTGAGTTTGTAAATACGGCTTGAACATATTCAATCGAGATAATCTACTTAGAAGTTCATTTTCGAAACCTGTTCGATCGACTTTCGTCAGAATAAATGTTTGAAGCGCTCTTCCCCATCGTCCATTCCAATCTGCAACAGTCAATCCTGACGTTAATCTTCCCATCTCTTCGACATCAACACACGCTCTTCTTCCTTGAAATAATTCAGGTTTGATCAAGAACATAATCGCAGTTGGATCGTTAAAACACGGTGGATCATTCCAAGAATTCAAAATTTCGGTATAATGTTTCGTTATATCGAAACAAAAATGTCCAATAGAGTTCAAGTCTTTGATTTTATGTCGAATCTCATCGGTTAACGGAAGTTGTCGAGTACAATTCAATCCAACCATAGTGATGTCTTCAAACGAATCGAACACAATTCTTCCGGCATGTGGATCATTAGCTAAATTCGCTTCGGCCGCAGCGGTTTTGTTTCCATGTCCTTCAATAGATCCACCCATTAGAACAATTCGTTTGACCGACTTAATGAATTTATCTCCACCGATTGAAACAGCTAAAGCAAGGTTAGTTAACGGCCCAATGGCACAAATTGTGATTTCATTCGGATTATTTAACACATGTTCGACAAGAAACTGAGCAGCGGAAAGATTCGAATACTTTTGTAGCGGAATTTGATTCAAATTTTCGATTGGATACTTCACATTTCCAATTCCATTTTCCGAATGAACTTTAATACCTGAATGACCATGATACGCATATGTTAATGGTTTATTTGCACCTTTGACGATCGGAATATGTTCACTCATGCCACACATTTGTAACAATAGACATGCATTATTTGCGAGTAAATCGATGTTATTATGATTTCCCATTACGATGGTTATTCCTTCTAATTGAATTTCATCTGGAGATGATAATGCTAAGAGAATTGCAATTGAATCATCAACACCAGGATCACAATCGATGATTACTCTTTCACGAACCATTTCTCTTTTAGAATATGAAGAACGAAGTACGATTTCATAGGCAAAAGATAACACATTTTTTGAATAGATAAAGAATAAGCAAAATGTGATGACGACAACTCGAACACCACTGTTGTTTGTCTCACATTCATACAAACTTGGAGTCTTCTCGACAATTTATTGAATCAACGAGTTTTCGTTGATACTGTATTTTTGATCGAACTTTATCAGTACTTTCATTGGTGGTGAAATCGCAACTATCATTATAGGAAATCTTATTTTCAACTCCGCTGACTTCCAAAGTCAACCTGCGGCCAGAAAATTACATAGTTCCCTTCATCTCTTGCGCCGTTTTCCATACGTGCAGTAAAAAAACATGAGTGTACCTGGAATCGAACCAGGGTTCCGAGTTCCGAAGACTCGAGCGCTACCATTACACCATAGGCCCGTCATATTTAAAAATTCTTCATTATCAAAATCAAACAAATGAATATTATTGATTTAATGCTTCAAAATGTTTTTCAAATCGAAGATATTCGTTTTCCGTTTCGAATGATCTTTCAGTTTACTTTCTAATCACTCCAGCTAGATTCTTAGAGGTAATTCGGTGCACATCATTCGTCACCATGTTTTCTATTTTATCTATACAAGAAGCGAGAAAAAAGCCATGCCGATTTCTTTCGTTCTTCTATTTACTGCTCGAACTTTCGATTACATCGAGGCAAAGCAGATGACAACGATACATGAGGATATAAAAAGGAGAAGAAGTGAATTTTCAAATCATTCTGATATTTAAACAACATGTGTGATACATCGATAACCAAAGTTTCGTCTTCCACAGCACCCGTTGGTGAAATGGGACAAAAGTATTTGGCTTGTGGCAAATCTCTATCAATGAGAATGTGGGACAATGAAAAAGCAACAAACGAACCAAAGCCATTATCAACACGTGACTATGAAACATGTGGTTTTGTCATATCGGGCAAAGCTGAATTGCATTTCGAAAACGACCAAAAAGTTTTACTTTCACCAGGTGATTCGTGGATCGTACCAANAAACTGGAACATTTCTAATGGTTTTATGGTTTATTAGTTTAAATTTGTTCTTCGTATTCTTTTATTTCGATTATTATCCATTTGTCCAACCGGTGAGTTTCATCATGTTTCTAATTTTATTTCTTCTGAACCCATTGCCGTTCTTTTATCAAAAATCTCGCAAATGGTTACTGAAAAAGTTACTTCGCATATGTTGTGCTCCGTTTTATCATGTCAATTTCGCTGATTTTTGGCTTGCGGATCAATTATGTTCCTTGGAATTGGTCTTTTTCAATATCGAATTCTTCTTCTGCTTTTACACCAATGAAAGCAACATCATTTCATCGAGCTCATCACATAAGTTCTTTTGCAGTGGCTGGTCGCAAGTTGTCCTACAATCGATATTTCTACTTCTTCCATCCTGGTTTCGTTTTTGGCAATGCGTCCGTCGTTATCGCGATACAAAGCAAAGATTTCCTCATTTGGTCAACGCTGGAAAATATGCGAGTACTTTATTGGTCGCGGTGACAAATGCACTGCGACGGGCGAAGAATTTCGATTATCATCAACATAAATTGGAAAATCCATTTTTGTATTTGTGGATCTTAATGTCGCTTTTCAGTTCAACTTATAAAATGATTTGGGATTTGAAAATGGACTGGGGATTTTTCGATAAAAATGCCGGAGAAAATCGATTTTTAAGAGAACAAATTGTCTATCCGCGAAAGATTTATTATTATATTTCGATTGTTCTCAACGTTATTCTGCGATATGTGTGGATTATTAATGTTTTTATTCATTTTAACTCGTTATTCGGAGAGTTTTCGGATATTATTGGCTTTTCATTTGCTTTAATTGAAATCTTCCGAAGGTTTATTTGGAATTATTTTCGATTGGAAAACGAACATTTGACAAATTGTGGACAGTTTCGTGCTGTGAGAGATATTTCCATTCGACCAACACCAAAATTGATTAAAAATTCGAGAACGACGCAACAAACGGAAGAGGATGAACAATTAACGACTAATGGAATTCCATTGACAATTATTAATGATTCTCAGCATTCGTCTCGTTTAACAAGAAGAAAAACGAATGCGGAAGAGTTTATTGAAGAAATTAACCCGATTTTAACAATCAATAAGAATGAAAATTATTCTTTCGATGATCAAATAGACTCCATGGCTTAATATCAATGCGAGTTTTTGAATATTGCGAAGTTATTCGAGTTCACTTTTTTTAAAAATTTTGTGTTTTCTCCATAATAGATTGTCTTTAAAGACACAAAATACTGGCAAACTGAAAGGTTTCTATCGTCTCATGTATACCTCGTTTCGCATATTGTCTCTCAAGAAAAACAAATTTTAAGTAAAACTTAGAAAATAAAATGTAAATTGGAATAGTTTGTGCTCGTTTATTATTTTATCATTCATATTACATAATCCGTCATATTTATTGTTTGATTATTTCATTTAATAAATTAAAGGAAAAACATTAAAAGCGAAACATCATACGTTCGGTCATGACACTTCAATTCATTGATCAGCGGCAGACAAATAAAAACAGAATAATAACAATACATTATTCATATACATTAATGTTTCTATTAGAATTACCAATGTATTTCACCTTTCGTTAAGGATTCCACGTCTCGACAGCTGCCTCCGGTGCAGGATTCCACGTCTCGAAAGTTGCTTCCGGAGCAGGGTTCCACGTCTCAACAGCCACCGCAGGTTCAGGATTCCACGTCTCGAAAGTTGCTTCCGGAGCAGGGTTCCACGTCTCAACAGCTGCTTCAGGTGCAGGATTCCATGTTTCGACAGTCGCTTCAGGTGCAGGATTCCACGTCTCCACAGCCGCCTCAGGTGCAGGATTCCATGTTTCGACAGCTACCGCAGGTGGAGGATTTGTCGGTTCAACAATTGGTTCAGGTGCAGGATTCCATGTTTCAACAGCCACCGCAGGTGGAGGATTTGTTGGTTCGACGATTGGCTCAGTTGTGGGATTAGACGGTGTAACAGTTGCTTCCGGAGCAGGGTTCCACGTCTCAACAGCTGCTTCAGGTGCAGGATTCCATGTTTCGACAGTCGCCTCAGGTGCTGGATTCCATGTTTCAACAGCCACCGCAGGTGGAGGATTTGTCGGTTCAACAATTGGTTCAGGTGCAGGATTCCATGTCTCGACAGTTGCTTCCGGAGCAGGGTTCCACGTCTCAACAGTTGGTTCAGGTGCAGGATTCCACGTCTCCACGGCCGCCTCAGGTGCAGGATTCCATGTTTCAACAGCCACCGCAGGTGGAGGATTTGTTGGTTCAACGATTGGCTCAGTTGTGGGATTAGACGGTGTAACAGTTGCTTCCGGAGCAGGGTTCCACGTCTCAACAGCTGCTTCAGGTGCAGGGTTCCATGTGTCAACAGCTGCCTCAGGTTCAGGATTCCATGTTTCGACAGCCACCGCAGATGAAGGATCGGTCGGTTCAACGATTGGTTCAAGTGTGGGATTAGACGGTGCAACAGTTGGTTCAGGTTCAGGATTCCATGTTTCAAAGGCCGGAGAACGTGGTGGATTCCATTTTTCGACGACTGGTTTTGGGGTTATAAGTGGAGGAGGATTCCACGTTTCAATTACTGGTTGAGGAGCTGGTATCGGTATGTAAGGGGGAGTCGGATCAGGCTTTTTAATTGGTATCGATGTTGGCGTTGGTTGTGGAATATTGGATCGATTAGGTTGTATTGGTTGTGGTCTTATTATCTTAATTTCAGTTCTTTTGACAATGGTTGGTGCTGGTGTTGGTTGTAATTGGGGCTTAGGCACAGGTTTAGGTGCAGGTGTAGGTTCAGGCGTATACTGTGGCTTATTTTCAAAACCATTTTGATTCGTCGGAGTAACAAATGGCTGTGGCTGATATGGTTTTGGATGAACAGTAATACTTCTTCCAGCTTGATTACATTTGCCAAGACACTTACAAGTATTTTGACATCCACATCTTTCCGCACATCCACAACAACAACAGCAGCAAATGATAATAATAACAATAATAAGTAAAATAATAAAACATCCAATCGCCAGTCCAATGATTCCTCCAGTTGTTAATGAATTACATGCAGCAACAGTCGAATCATATGTGCAATTAATTGATACCATATTGAAATATTTTGTATGCAAAATAGATTCCGAGAGTTAAAGCATGTTAGAAGTAGTCGACACTTTTTTTCTGTCAAATAAATTCTTTTTCTATTTATTCTTGTTCGTTTTACTCGTGTGATCGGGGGTAAAACAAATAATCGTTGTCAAAGCAAAAATGAAGGCAAAAAGTGCAGGTATATTACAAAAACAAAAAGAATCACGTCTCGCTGCTTTTACACAGCTAAAACAACAAGACTTCATTATGATTGACATGATGAACCAACGATTTTCGTCTTTAAAATTCTTCAAAATAACCAAAATTTAATCGGCGAAAACAAATTTATTCCTTTAAACCCGACAAGAGAAAAGTCAGTGTGATGATAAGATGAAAAGTATGGTAATCTTTCAGTCTGAATCCATTTCGTAAAGTTGAATGCGATAATTTAAACTATCCGCTACATAAAGATTTCCTTGTTGATCGAATGTTAAACCTGTTGGATAAGCTAATTGATTGGATTCTTTTCCATTCCCATTACCTCCGACAACCACCGATCCTTTATTGTCTCCTTCGATCCATTTCATGATTCGATGATTTCCCCAATCAGCAATGAAGATTTGATGAAATTGATCAACAACTATCGCATGCGGATGAATTAATTGTTCTGGTTCATCTCCACAGTCATTTCCTCCTGCGACAACAGTTCCTTGTCGCGCATTTTTTTCCCATTTCATAATTCGATGATTGAAATTGTCCGCAACATAAATCGAATCCTCTGGATCAATGAAAATATAAGTTGGTCCATTGAACTGATTTAATTTATTTCCATTTCCATTGCCACCTGCAACTAAAATTCCATTGATTTTACCTTTTTTCCATTTTCTTATCTCATTCTTTTCGTAATCGGAAACGAAGATATTTCCATTTGTGTCCATTGCTAATCCCCAACAATCGATATCGTTGAAGAGAACTTCTTGATTTTCTTTGTATCGTCCGTAACATCGAATAACGCGTCGATTTTCTCGATCGGAGATGATGAACGACTTTTTATCTTTGTAGAAAATGACGTTCATCGGACATTTGATTCTTTCGTTGGCATTGCGTTTCGGATTTTCATCAACAATGGTTTGACCGCTTTTCGAACGAAATTTCCATAAAAGTACGCGATGATTTTCCGTATCGGCAATGAGTATGGTTTTGTTTTCATCGATTGAAATCCCTTCAAAGCGAGAAACTTGATCCAATCGGTTGCCTTTTCCGTAATCACCGATGATTGTCAGTCCTTTTTGCTTCCATTTCTTGTTTTGATCTAAAAGACATAAATACAAACGAAAACAGAAACGATCGTTTTTGTGTATCACCTGATGATTTTGTGAAAGTCGTATTTCCACTGGAAACGATTTTCTTTTCGTTTGAAAATAATGATTTTTCATGGGAATTCAACGATAAATCTAATGAAGCTGGAATGTTTTGGTACGAAGACGATTTTTGTCTTAATTGAATCATAAATAAATCTTTTCCTGCTTGCCATTTCGCAAGAACTTGAAAGAAACTTCCCGGCATTAACAAAATTTCGTTTTCATCTTTAAATGCTGAATGAGATTGAAGAGATTTGCCATCGAAACATTCGATCTGAAAGATCGTTCGAACTCCGCTCGTTCCAATATAACCTTCTAAAATGTTTAATGATTCAAAACACGAACTATTCGCCCACCAGACATGATCAACGTTGTAATGATCGCAGAGATTCGCACGTGCACCGCGCCAAACAGTTCCTTTAATTGATGGAAGTTTACACAATGCTGTGAAAAACAGTTTTAGAAACGGAAACCAAGGAGTTAATCCATGACGATTTTTCGAGCGAAGGTGCTCGTTTAAGAGGCTCGACAAACTTCGATGTGGCGGAGGCCATGACATTGTGTAAAGATAGATCGAACCAGACTCATCCGGAGTTAATTTATTCGCAGGTTTTTGACAATTTTGTTCAACGACTTCGAGAATCGAGTCGATATTGTAAAGCAACGATTTGATCGGCTCGAGTGATTTTCTCAATGAAAGTAATCGACAAGTTTCGTAGCCTTGGATTGTTAAGAAAAATCGATCGGGCTCTGCGGTGACATCGAAGAAGCGTCGAGGAATTATTCGTCCGGACATTGAGCTAAGAAGGAAAAGGACAACTTTTTTTTGTAAACTATGGTGACAACATTTGTAAATGTTTTGTGTTGTGAAACATTTAACAAAGAGAAAAACAAATTTGCTTTTTTCGTTCTCTGCTAAAAAACAAAACCATGTGAATGAGAAAAATTTGAAATGAAATTCGATTTCGTCGTTTATTCGCTCATCTTGAGTAGAATTTATATATTTATTGATAATCAGATGAAATATTTTTCGCATTATATCGAGTCTTTCGAAAGCAAAAAACGAATCAAGCGGTGTGGTAGATCACTTTTTCCCATGCAGAATTCGTATTCAAACTTTGAACAGTCCCACATCGATATCCTCCATCACCAGGAGAAGTATGCCAACATAATCGATGACTACCATTTGGTGATTCTGTATCACAAGATCCCCGTGCAACTGAATCCCCAATTTTTGCAAAGCCCCAAGAATATGAACTGGAGTAATACCAATTAGCTCCATTAGCTGCATGCGTACAATTGATGGCTTTTTCACAATTGAAAAGAACGTCTTCTCGATTTCCAGCAGCAGCGACAGCTAAATTTGCCGTTCCAACTCGTCGACAAGCAAGGAGCAATTTTCTCCCGTTGCATCTGTTCAAAATACTTTCAAGGGTCGTCGAATTCATAGAGTGTGAATAAGATTCAGTGTAACAGTTGCTCCATTTAGCAGATAATGATGAAGGATCGAAATTCAGTTGAACTCCAAAAAATGGAAGAGGTTCTTCTATAAGAAAACAACGATTATTCAGTTAAGATTCTCAAGTTTATTGGAAAAAGAATAAAAATGTTTTCAATATAATAAATCCTTCGTAAAAGAAATGTTCTTTTTCGATGATAAAGTCTTAATTAATTCCATATAAGTTCTTCACTGACCTTGAGTTTCGCAAGCCAATCTTTCCCGTTGTTTACATGCATATCCAGCTGGACAAGGGCTACATTCAAGCATGCCAATATATCGAGCCTGTGTACCAGGTGGACAAACCCGACAACACGTTTGACGTGTAGCATTGTTGAATGTACCTTGTGGGCAGCGTTCAGCATCTTCAGTTGTGCTGGGACACATATGTGCTTTTGGACAATCATAGCACATTGCTGATCCTGGTGCTGGAGCAAATGTACCTTTCGCACATGGTGTACATTCTGTAGCTCCTCCTTCGCTATATGTTCCTGGTGGACAGAGTTCTTCTTCCCACATGTCAGCGTTTTGGGGAACTAGTGAACGAAGCATTCCTTTGGAGGCTCGTGCACGACAACGGTAGCCAGGTCGACATTCTTGAATTGACAAACTGAAAGTATTGGCAGCCAAGCAAAGAAGAAACACGGCGAGTAAAACCGATTTTGCCATTGGATGAGAATGAATGTTTGCAAAATGAAAATGTATCGAGTGAAGCAGTACTGCAGATATTTATACATGTTCATTGGACAAAAATATTGACTCGCGAATATAATACGTTGTTGTTTTTTCCAACGCAACTGTACATGACTTTCGCACACACTTCCGTTGTTTTTGAAAATATCGGTTACATCGTATGTATCTAGGTATCCGTTTTACAGGAGAATAGACTAAATATCAACAAGAATTATTCGGTTTTAACAAAAAAACAACGACTGTATTTATATTTATTTATCAGCAAATCCCAAAAGAATCGAATGACATAATACACTTATTGGATTACGGATCTGGATGAAATACAGCTGGCAAGGATTACAAAGCAAAAAAATCCAACATCTTCAAGACAATCATTGTCAAAAGAGATAAGAAAACTTTCTTCGCTTCTTTATTATAAATTGGCAGAAGCCTGAAACAGCACCGAACAGAGTTTTATTTATGTGATCATCAAGCTTCAACAAATGTCATCCTTACTTTCAACTGAAGAGTAATTGTAACAAGATGAAAAACCACTGAATCAAGCACCGCGTTTCGCAACTTATTATTGAAAGGATGGGAGGCATATAAGACCGCAAATCAGCCCCATTTCAAAATCAGTTTCGAAAATACCGAATACGATGCGGAATGAGACGGAGAATCTTTTTACACCAAATTCAGGCCAATTTGAAACTATATGAAAGAGCAAATAGTTCTGCACAAAATCAAATGTAAACTACCGTGAAAAAGTATATAGAGCGAAGTTATGATGACCACATATGCAGTCATCATAACTTCGCCCTATATATACCTCTTTCCGCAGTGATTTACATTTGATTCTGTGCAGAACTGTTTGCTCTTTCTAATGAAATTATTTCGTAGGTAATAGGAAAGAATTTTTATTATGATATCTTTGAAAAAACACTATGATAATAGGGTAAAAATACCAGATGATATTGTCCATCGGTAACCTTTCATATGGTTTCAAATCGACCTGAATTTGGTGTAGAAAGATTCTTCGTCTCATTTTGCATCGTATTCGGTATTTTCCAAGCTGATTTCGAAATGGACCGATTTACGGTCTTATACGCCTCCTAGGGATGCACCCAATCCAATTCCAATCGAATCCAAATCTTAGATTTGACTGGAGTTGGGTGGAGTTGGATTTGGATTTGATTGGGTTTGATCGGAGTTGGATTTGGATTTGACTAGATTTGAATTTGACCAGAATTGGATTTGGATTTGGTACATCCCTAACGCCTCCCGTCTTTTCTTTTGACCAAAGACTATTCTACATATGACATTGACGTATGAAACTTTAATGTATATTCTTCGTTTCGAACTGTACATTTTATCTTTTATCGTTCTGTTTCTCCACCACGTTGTAGCCCGGTTAGAAAAAAAAACCTATTACTGGTAAGCTTTGTTTTTTTGTACCGTACAGTTAAATAACCGAATGACATTAATTGTATTGCGATACGAATGACTGAGAAGCACCAACTTAATATTCACCATTTGGATGACGTTTCGATGAGCACAGAAAAAAAAGGAAAATCCGTAAGTGGAGCTAACGGTACATCTGAACTTTGTTTATATGAGTAGAGATTGATATTGTAAAGGTCAAAAGACAATGAACACGTTCATTTGCATCGAATAAAGTCTATGAGAGACTAGAATGAGATATTTTCAACTAGTTCGTATAATATTCTGAATATGCGAACACAGACATGTTATCGAAAAGATAATATCGCGATATTGTGTATATTTTGTCTTGGCTTGATTTATATTAACGAACCAATGGACATCTATTGCCTTCTTAGCATAGTTGTGACAAAAATCCAAATATGTGCAATCATATTTTTTTCATTTCTTATTTGATGATCTGTGTAATGAGGCGTCCAAGAGTATTTAATGACGGTACCTAAAATTTCATCACACCCATCATATTGGAAAATAACAACTTAATGAATCGTTGGTAAAGCTCATTAATTCAAGTAACTATTTGTTTATATATGTTTACAGTCACCGCGTGTTGCCTTAGAACGAACTGAGCCCGATCAGCAAAGAACGAAAAAAGTATCGTACAAAACAAAAGTGCACAAGAAGCAGAGCGAGAGAGAAACAACAAAGACAAACAAAAGTAATACATGCAAACCATTCGATAAGTATAGATATTTTTTAAAGGTGAGTCGATATTGGATTCTAGTTCGAATAGCAGTGAAGGGTTCAAAACAACTCTTCCAAGCACGGATACATCTATTTCTCACAAATTCTCTTTCCAAAGAAACACCTACAGATGGTTGATCAATGCATCAAACTGGATACAACCAAGATGCAATCCATTCTCTTTTCAGACGTATTTTTACTAAGAAAAGAATAAACTCAAAATTAACGAATAATTATCACATTGAACAGCCAATAAAAAATCTTCAGACGTTTCATGAATATGTATGTGTATGCCTGTTACTGACACTTCTTAGATTAGAAAAATAATCTTCAACTAGAGAACTCAACAGGTTTTTTCATGTTACCTCATGAATACGTCGAAAAAATCTTCTATTTTTAGATCGAATCAAGTAGTCGTGCTCTCGCTCAATGCATTTAGTAGATTGATTTATTATGACATCAGAAGTATCACTTCCTCAAAAGCAGTCATCTCATACAATCGAACAAATATCAATTTACGATGTCAGAACCAACTGTCAATGTCGTCTCATACTTCTCGCCCTTTCAATCGCCGTATTTCTGTTACCTTTTTCTGACTTTGTTTATTTACCTGCTCTTACCGAGATCGAACGTGACATGAACACATCGGATGCAGTCGTTGAAGACAGTGTGTCAGTCTATTTATTCATGGGAGGTATTTCGAGTCTTTTCTGGGGATCAATCTCTGATCGATACGGTCGCAAACTTACATTAATCGCATCTCTCAGTCTATTCGCGACTACATCTATAGTATGCATTCGTGCCGCCAATGTTATTCTTCTTGTTTTCTCTCGAGCCATACAAGGTGCTACTATATCTGCAACATTAGTCATTGGCCAAGCTATCATCGCTGACATTTACCCGGAGGAGAAACGAGGATCTGCAGCAGGGTGGTTTTTCCTTCCGTTCAATATAGGTCCAATAGGTGGTCCATTGTTGGGTGGTCCACTTTCCAGCGCATTTACTTGGCACAGTACCTTTGTTCTCTTGGCAATATTTTCCATTTGTGCAATCATTATGATACTTATTCTCGTACCTGAAACTCATCAATATTATATCAAAGAACAATTTCATAAAACAAATCCTGACAAAAGAATCATCGATGTTGAGTTTAGCAATCAGACACAGTTCAAAAATCCACTCAAGGCGGTCACTTATTTATACGACTTAACAATTCTTCCGTATATCGCTGTGGCAGCAGCAACTTATGCTACTCTAACATCTACAGAAACTCTTTTCCCTACTTATCTAGGAAAGAGCCCTTATAACTTTTCACAGACTACTATGGGTTTACTGTACGTCCCAAGCGGCATTGTCCTTTTCATAAGTAGTCTGTTGGGTGGATGGCTTTCTGACCTTGCAAGTGACTACTATGGCCATAAAAGATGTCTGGAAGGACGTGTTGTGCCTAATTTAATTTTGAGCATTTTGACACCGATTGGACTGTTGATTTTTGGATGGAGTGTCCAATACAACGCTCACATATCTGTCGTCATTGGTGGCTTATGTATCGCTAGCTGTGGTCAAGCATTATTTGAGCCATGTGCATCGGCTTATCTAACAGCAAAGAAGCAGAGCGATGCAGGGGTTGTGTCTGCTGCAAATGTATGCTTAAATTTGTGTGCATCTGGTGCTTTGGTATCTATCGGTGTTCCTCTTATCGGAGTAATCGGTAGTGGAGCTTATTTTTCTCTTCTGGCCGCATTGACATTGATGAGTATTGTACCGGCTGGTGTAATAGTTTACAACTCCATCAAACGGGCCAGTCATTCTATCGGAGAATACGATGCGATTGTCTTAGAGCTTGATCCTGCGAACGAAAATACAAAATTAAGAAAGTAAATATGTTGAGTGCCATATTTTGACTAGCCCAGTTAGCAAACTTGCTTTTACATTTTCATGTTCAATAAATAGCTTTTTCTCATACATAATTAACGGTGAGCACGTCTGTACTGTATCATAATGTATATTCGGAGTACTGCACGAAAAAGATGAGAATTCCATTTTTGTTCGTGGCAGATCACTAACGCCATCTATCGAAAGACGATTATGATAATGTACATGTATATTGATTGATTGATTGTATATAATAACCAACGACGAAAAGAGTCTCAATTGATATGAATCAGTCGAAAATGAAGATTGCAGTGTTTGGCGCAACCGGAACAACCGGTGTAATATTTGTCGAACAAGCTTTGAAAGAAAATTATCAATTAAAACTATATTGTCGTCCACAATCGATCGTCAAACTAGGTGAATTATCTTCACATGCATCCGTGGAAATTATTCAAGGAGGATTCGACGACGATTTCACACCTGCAGTCCGAGGAGTTGCTGTTGTCGTTAGTTTTCTTGGCCCTGGACTAAATTGGCCATCGGGCAATCCATTAGAAAAAGTGATGATGAAAATTATGCAAACCATGAGAAATGAAGGAGTAACAAGATTTGTGACAATGGGAACGCCGACAATAGCCGATCCTTTGGATAAAAATGTCTTCAAATATCGAATTCTAGTTTCTTCATTGAAACTTCTTCAACCGAATGTTTATAATGACATGGTCGCCACTGGAAATTTATTCAAAAGCGGAAACTACGATGATTTAGATTGGACTGTTGCGCGTATTTGTTTTTTGAAAAGCTCCGCTCAACCAAAAGAACACATCCACGTCGGATATGTCGGCGACGGTCAAGGTTCACTCGTCAGTCAACGAGTTCATTGGGTGAAATTTATTTTGACGGAAATTTTGGAAAATCATTGGATTCGCAAAATGCCATTTATTACTTCGATATAAAGAAAATACTCTTTTATTTTTCTGAACTTTCGATTTGTTCTTCTAATTGAGTTTGTAAATACGGCTTAAACATATTCAATCGAGATAATCTACCTAGAAGTTCATTTTCGAAACCTGTTCGATCGACTTTAGTCAGAATAAACGTTTGAAGCGCTCTTCCCCATCGTCCATTCCAATCTGCAACAGTCAATCCTGACGTTAATCTTCCCATATCTTCTACATCAACACACGCTCTTCTTCCTTGGAATAATTCAGGCTTAACCAAGAACATAATCGCAGTTGGATCGTTAAAACACGGTGGATCATTCCAAGAATTCAAAATTTCGGTATAATGTTTCGTTATATCGAAACAAAAGTGTCCAATAGAGTTTAAGTCTTTGATTTTATGTCGAATCTCATCGGTTAACGGAAGTTGTCGAGTACAATTCAATCCAACCATAGTGATGTCTTCAAACGAATCGAAAACAATTCTTCCAGCATGTGGATCATTAGCTAAATTCGCTTCGGCCGCAGCGGTTTTGTTTCCATGTCCTTCAATCGATCCACCCATTAGAACAATTCGTTTGACCGACTTAATGAATTTATCTCCACCGATTGAAACAGCTAAAGCAAGGTTAGTCAATGGCCCAATGGCACAAATTGTGATTTCATTCGGATAATTTAAGACATGTTCAACAAGAAACTGAGCAGCGGAAAGATTCGAATACTTTTGTAGCGGAATTTGATTCAAATTTTCGATTGGATACTTCACATTTCCAATTCCATTTTCCGAATGAACTTTAATACCTGAATGACCATGATACGCATATGTTAATGGTTTATTTGCACCTTTGACGACCGGAATATGTTCACTCATGCCACACATTTGTAACAATAGACATGCATTATTCGCGAGTAAATCAATGTTATTATGATTTCCCATTACGATGGTTATTCCTTCTAATTGAATTTCATCTGGAGATGATAATGCTAAGAGAATTGCAATTGAATCATCAACACCAGGATCACAATCGATGATTACTCTTTCACGATCCATTTCTCTTTTGGAATATGAAGAACAAAGTACGATTTCATAGGCAAAAGATAACAAATTTTTTTAATAGATAAGGAATAACCAAGGCGTGATGACGAGAACTCGAACACCGCTGTTGTTTGTCTCACATTCATACAGATTTCGACTCTTCTCGACAATTTATTGAACCAACGAGTTTTCGTTGATACTGTATTTTTTATCGAACGTTATCAGTACTTTCATTGGTGGTGAAATCGCATCTATCATCAGAGGAAATCTTATTTTCAAATCGAAGATATTTGTTTTCCGTTTCGAATGATCTTTCAGTTTACTTTCTAAACATTCCAGCTAAATTCTTAGAGGTAATCCGGTGCACATCATTCGTTACCACATTCTCTATTTTATCTATAAAAGAAGTGAGAAAAGGCCATGCCGATTTCTTTCGTTCTTCTATTTACTGCTCGAACTTTCGATTTCATCGAGGCAAAGCAGATAACAACGACACATGAGGATATAAAAGGAGAAGAAGTAAATTTTCCAACCATTCTAATATCTAAACAACATGTGTGATACATCGATAACCAAAGTTTCGTCTTCCACAGCACCCATCGGTGAAATGGGACAAAAATATTTGGCTTGTGGCAAATCTCTATCGATGAGAATGTGGGACAATGAAAAAGCAACAAACGAAGCGAAGCCATTATCAACACGTGACTATGAAACATGTGGTTTTGTCATATCGGGCAAAGCTGAATTGCATTTCGAAAACGACCAAAAAGTTTTACTTTCACCAGGTGATTCGTGGATCGTACCAAAAGGTGCCAAACACACGTACAAAATTTTAGAAAATTTCACCGCAGTCGAAGCAACACACCCACCGGCAGAAGTGAAGAATCGCGATGCTCCGAAATAGATTTTGTTAACACTTTTATTTTTGAAATAAAGTTATCCAAGCAGAGACATTTCTTTGCATAGTTGACTCATGCGGAGAAGCGAACGGGAGAAAACGTGTTGTTGATCGAATTTCTATGGCAACTTTTGTTGAATCCACATTCATTTTGAAAGAACGATGGATGAGAAATACTTGGAGGATTTGAAACAATTCGAAGATTTATCCAATTTAACCAAAGATTTATCTGAGGACGAAATTTGGTTCAAATTCCTTGCAATTTGGTTCGAAATTCTCGATAATGAATATTTTTTATGTTACAGCCAATGTGTTGTGCTTATCGAAAGTTTAATAAAAATGGTGAAGTTTTATACAATAAGGAAAGATGTTCAATTTTCTCGACAAACGGCGTTTAAATCGTTGGAAAATCTGAATAAAACTCGATTGAAAAATTATTTCTTGTTAACGAAAGAGGAACAGGAAGAAGAAATGAATAAAATCTATTATAAACATGTTTATTATCTTCTGTTAATTTCATCTCAAACAATATCGTTTATTCCATTTGATTCGTTGGACGATCAACTATTTATTGAAGATCATCTCGACCTTTTCGAGATCTTTATTCGAAGAATTGATCAGCGAATGCCGAAGGAATCCGATGGGCAACGTACTTTGGGTATTATTGGCGAACGAATTCTAACTTTCCTTTGGAATTTAACTGATCGGATAATTCTCATTCCAATTCTACTTCGAACAAATCTTGCAGAAAATACTTTGAAATGGATTCAACAATCGGATTCATTGACAGAGAAAAGCCGAAGAGCTTTTCCAAGTATTCTTCAAAATATCGCTCGACATGATCAAGGTGCAGAAAAATTAAATCAATTCGATGCGATTGAAATTCTCAAAGCGTATCAACAAAAGTAAGTCAATTCATTGTTCTACCCTAAGCCAATCAGTGATTTTCCTCTAGCGACATCTCTCATGAAATTCAAATTTCTACTAGAGCACCCGGTAGAAATGATGAGCGTTGTTCTCTGATAATCTTAAGCGCCCCTGCGGTCGAAATCTTATCGATGTAATACTCATTTGTTGTTTTTGTTTGAATAGAAAACTCGAGAAGACTGGAAGTCGAAAATTATTGATTTCGATGGCGATCGCATTACTGTCAACGCCTGAACAATTGAAAGATAACAAAAAAGGAATGAATGCTGTATTGAATCAATTATTGCAGTTGGTTATCGACTCGTTCGGATCTGATCGATTTCGTTCTGATGGAATTCATGTTAGCGAACCTCTACAAGTTTTAGTGAAACTATTCGTTGTTGACGAACGAACACTTGATTATATTCTTAACCATGCTGAAACGGAATGCTCCTCCAATTTCGTGTCGACAATTTGCTTGTTTATTGAGATCTTTCTTCAGTTTAGCGATTCGTTGAAACAATCGGATCGTGTCGAACAATTTACATTGATTGCAACTACGAATGTTCTATGGAGTATCTCGTTTCTTCACTATTCCAAAGAAGAATTTCTCAAAAACAAGTTGTTCATTCGAACCATTAAGAAAATCAATGAAGATTTAGATGAAAACGACATCATTCAGCAGTATAAACCAAAATCAATGGAGAATATTCAACAAGCGATTCAAGGTATTTTACATAATCTGGATTTTCAGCAAGAATCAACCCATTCAATTCAAAAGTAAATATCAAATTGTCAAAATGATGAATTTTGCTGTGAATATTTTTAGTCGAACTGGTCAAAAATGGATCATGATAAGTTACTGTCACGAAAATATTGATTTATGCAATGAAATCTCGAAATATCTGAAAAATTCCATAAAAGATTTGAATATTTGGATCGATCAAACCCATACAGATGGTTCAGTGGATCTATGGGAATCCATCGCCCAAGGAATCGAACAATCGACTGCAGTTTTATGTTTTCTCTCAGAGGAATATTTTCAAAGTAAATCATGTCGACAAGAATTTGTTTATGCAAATGATTCTCTGAAAAAACCGATCGTTCCGATATTGATCAAAAGCTTCCAACCAAAAGGATGGCTAGGTTAGTAAAAGGCGTTTCGCTTGGCAATTCGTTTGATTTGATTTCTTTGAAAAAAAGTATTCGAATGACCGGATTGAAATACATTCGTTTCAAAGATGAAAACCAGTTGGAAGAAAAGAAAAAAGGTGAACTACTGAATACAATTCTTGCATTATTATCGATCAAAACAGATGAACCAAAGGAAAGTCTTTCGGCTCCTCGTCCAATCGATGAAATTCCATCGAATTCCACGAATGAAATACAACGGTGGTTTCAATCAAACCGACTTTCGAAGGATTTTTACGATTTATTTCAATTCGAAACACGTGAAGAGCTATTGGATTATGCACAATTACTATTTAAAGACCCCGAAAGACAAATGAACATCTACGATAAGATTTATTCACAAAAATATCACGGAAAACAGATGGCTTCGCATGAATTTCTTCGCTTTACGAAAGCTTTAAAACAATTCGTCCAAGCTGATTCGAGTTCAATATCATCAACACAAGTCAAATCCAAAATATGCGTTCTATCCTGAATCTGTTTCTACTTCAAATTACATCTCAGATTTTTCTAACCTACCCGGGAAAAAATTTTTCGATCAAAACCGCGGTAGATCACGGTGCGAGAGGGCGTTGCTGTCGGCGGTTTAATTGAACCGCGAAAGTCAGACCTTTTATTAGGTTCTCTCACACCGGCCGAAACCGCGGTTTGATAATACCGC